AAAAAAAAAAAAAAAAAAAAAAAAAAGAATATATTATATCATTTTCATAATTATTTTGCTTATTTATAAACAAAAATAATACAAGAAAATTACATATATTATTATTTCATAATAATTCGTATATATATTATTCATTGCAACTATAATTAATCGGTACTTAGAATAATTAATAACTTGCTTAAAATTAAAATATCACAAAAGCCTACGAGAAAACACAGATAATGTCCTTACTTTAACTTTTAAGTTTGATGAATTCGTTCCAATATTAAAGTTAACCGCTCAAAATTCGAACCGCTAAACTCAAATTTGCTATATTGTAGGCAGGTGTCTTCGTTTGTACAGTGCCGGCGCAAGGTTTTGCAGGGCCCTTACCATTACAAACGGTTTGTAAGACGGAGACAACGCAATATGTCAATATGACACCAATCCTAACAAAATATAAGTGTCAATATTTTGATTTAAAAATGCCATAACTCATCATAAAAAATAATTGTTCAAGCATATATTATTGCGTTTATATAGTTAACTACTTTTGTACCAAATGTTGGATTAGGTACGTGTAAAATATCAACTCAATAAGAATCAAGCATAATCACAATAATCACATGATGCTAGAACTCTAGAAGTCGAGATGAATGCAATTACAATTATTAAGACATTTGTACAAAAATATCATACATGTTGGTAGCCAGGTAGGTATGTATAAAAATAAAAAAAAAGTTTGCTACTATATAAGTACATTAATATACTTAGGTGATAGCTAGATAATGTGTACAATAATAAATATGGAAAACATACTATAATACGAGAATGTAAGAACGAACAATTAATCAACACCGAACACACATTTAACATAATGTTGTGACTCGCGATAATGATCCATGAACCAATAAAGTTTCTCCTCTATAAACTCAAAATGTCTTCAACATATCTATATATAAGGTGAAATAACGCTTGTATTAAACTTTTAAGTAATGCATATATTGTAGTTAATGTTAGACCTACCATCAAAGTATTTCTATAACTGCACTCTATACGAAGTTATTTATAAGTTCGTTATGAGGTAAAGTTTTACTCCAACATTTTTTCGGTACAAGATCAAAGTCAAAATTTAATAAAAGTATTGTAATACCTACTGTACCAAATATATTATAAGTACTAAACACTATAATATAATATGTACAAGATATTAAGATAGTTTTAGTCTAAGATTACTCAAAAATCGGTTTTATGAACTCATGTTACTTATGTATCTGAGAAAGAAAATAAAATACATTGTGACATCTAAGAAAAAATGAAGTCAAAATCGTTTAAAAATCAAATGTATAAGTTAATAGTTAAACTGTAAATAAAATGAATGTTTCAAATACGTATCAATCAAAATATTATGTTTGTGCTACCAATATTCTTATGGTAAATTGTATTCAGTTAAAATTTTAACTTAAAATCAATTCCAGGCGTTCCAGCTATAATGCTTCGGAATTTATTGACTATAGTTAGTCAATATTCATATTTAAAAGAAATAATAACCTAGACTTTCATTGTTAATACATGCTATGCACAAACTACTAACCAAATTTTTTACCTGAGATATTAATAATACGCAAACGAAGAACGCTGAAGTTTGTATAATATTTAAACGCTAGATAAAAAAAAGTATTATAAGATTGTTATACTGCAAAATATTTTACTTATGATTCACACAAATAAACATTTGTATTATGTTTCCTATTTAGGTATTAATTTTTATTTGATATCGTTATACAATATATTTTAGATTATTGATTATTATTGATAAACCGTCAACACCATAGAAGAAAATTGATATATGGAGTTTGTTAAAATCGTGACTATATTGTACAATGACTACAATGTTTAGAAATACTTGCGGTATTTTTTTTTGTAACTGATGTAAACATCTCATTTATGTTCGACATTTAAAGAAAAAAAATTTTAAAAGTCCATTGTTTATAAATAGCTCAAAAAGTTTGAAAATATTTTAAAATATTTATCGTATGGGTACAGAAAATTCTAATATGAAAATTTGGTAAAAAATTCAACGACGGTTATTTGCTTCGAATTACATCAAAAAAACAGTATCGACTTTTAAGAAAATTAAAGGTTAGACATTTTCAATTTTGGTTACTCAAATGTGCCAACTAGATCCGATTTGCTACCAATTTGCCACTCTCTAAGTTGAAATCAACCCATTTTTTCTCCTACATTTCGAGTATACAGACATACAAAAAAAACACATCATTGTTAAATCAATACATTCATCCGTCTGCTCAGACTTAATCTGCTGAAAAATATAAAAAAAATGGTAACGATAAAATACATAATTCTTTTTCAAAAATGTTGTTTTTAAATTACCTATGTAAAAGAAATATTTAAAAAAACGTTACCTACTGTTTTCTAAAATAATGATAGTGCCTTACGTTAAATGTATCACCCAGCTACTCTATGGAAGTATCTACATATTTTATGAATTTTAGAAATGTTATCTCGTCGACAAAAGCACAAAACAATAACGTACAGAGTAATTTTTTAAGCATGATGCTCACATATTTTCTTTACATAAGTTTAAATTATGCATTATATTAAAATTCTAATTTTTGGAATTTTTAAACGTACAGGTAAATATTTTTAGTACTATTCGAACACAATATTCAAGGAGTATCCTGTGACAATACCAACATTTGTTTTTCAATTTAGAACCTTTATGTTTTAAAACAAATTCTGAAACGTAATTGTTTTGAAAATGCTGACGTATTGTAACTGAAATTCGAACGAAATGGTTCTGATGAGTTATTCTACTTTGAATATTTAAGCAGTGGCGTGGTGAAGGGGTTTTCCAGAGGCCTTGGCCTCTATTGGATATTAGGTGGGTACGCGTACTAGGTGTCGCTGTCTTTACCATTAAAATTTTGGGTAAAGATTTTCTTTTTATATAAAATTTAATTATTTTTTTCTAGAATGTTTATAATATGCATTCGATCATAACAACTAACCACTAAAAATTATAACTTCATCTCTGTATTCCGAATCAACACAAGCGAAATGGCGACAATAAAAACAAAATATCAAATCCTTCATTTTCTTCTACACTTGTCATTTGTATTTTAAATACTACGAAATATAAAATTATTTTTGTTTTCCGCCAATGAATCATCTCCGAAACGTTAAGTTGCTCCAAATCGGCCCGTTTTCGAGGCTTAGACTAATATCAATCAAAATTATTGTTTTGAATGTAATCAATGGAACTTATTAAAGTACAATATTTATACATTTTTTTAGAAGGAACAGATTCAATATCAGATCGAGCCTACTAAGAAAAAACACAAGAAAACGTTGTATGGCCTGAAAAAACTGTATTTATTAAAAAAATAAAATATGATCTTAGAATCTCTTAAAATATAAAGAGTTTCAACTCGTTCTTGTGTGTGAAATAACTATTTACTATAAAAATATAACAATACGACATTTACATCACTAATATTTCCTATACCTTCGTTTGCATAATTTGTTTTAGGGTAAGTTTTCAATATTGAATAATTTATTAAATTTAAAATAAATTGGTGTGGTTTAAATATTATAGTAAATAGCTAAAAAAACAAAACAAAAGTTACCTATTTGGTGTGTATGGTCAGCACATTAGCAATATTGGTTCTTCATCAGGCCCTTTAGGGGGTCGGAGATTAGTATAATAGTATCAAAGGGGGTCCGGATGATTGGAAAACAAATTGTCGAGGTCCAAAAAATATTTTTTTTGTTTAGTTAACTTGTTATTCAGCTGGGAGTAGAAAGAAAAATAATAGCGAAAAAAAATCGGCATTAAAGTAAAATGGCAGTCCGTTTACTTCCCCTCCGTAGTACATAAGGATGATAATATAATAGGTTTCTGTAGTCATTTCAATAGTATGTATTTTAATCTGTAATCTCTAATGAACAATCTATTTTTGAACACTCTGTATACCTGTTAGCATAGATCTATAAACTATATAGGTTCAAATTTTAAAAAAATATACAATAAAACAAATGTAATATTATTCAATTATTATGAAAAACTAACCTCTGATTAAGTGTCTTACAATGAACCTAAATATGTAATATTTTTTATTAGGTTATTTTATCTTATCATTTCATGTACATTTCTACTCACATAAGAAATCGAGTCAAATTTAAAAAATATATAACTTTATTATACAAACATTTAAGGTGTGTAACTCCAATAATATAGTTACATACACTATCACATTATATTTTTATATCATAATATATGGAACAATAAGACATAATAATCAGTAATGGTTGAAAATAATTAAAATTAAAATGTTGTTTCATTTCCACACTTTGATTATTCCATCACAAGATGCAGTGACTAGAAAACACTGAGACGCCATACATGATGTAATATCCAGTATCGACCCTACATGCCCTGGTGCCGGTTGGTCAGTGGCACAAGGTGGCTCCTCGTCACCTGTCATTACTGTACTGCTAGACTTTGTGCAAACCTCTTGGACAACGTTTGTACCATCGACTAATCTACACCTAATCCATTATTTGTTTTAACATTAGTATTAAATAAAATAATTGTAAGAATTAAACATACTCATAACAATACAATGAATGACCCATAACATCACTTGCAGCTGGTATAGCTATATAGGAATCACTCGGAGATCTCAAGTTCCATTTCCGTACTCTCTGGTCGGTACCACCGGTCAACAATTCTGGACCATGATCTGTATTCATTGTGTACAATGCACAAACACTGTGGTTATTAGTCTATAATACAGGATGGAAATTAGTAAAATGGAAAACATAGTAAATAAGTCTTATATAAGACTTTTAATATAACTTAAGTCAAATGATTATTATACTTGACTGTTTGACAGCGGAGGAGCACTACTAGCCCAAAGAGTTTGTTGTTTTGAACCACTTTCCAAATTCCACACTGTTACTTCATTATTATCTTGCATGGCTGATATAATCCATGATGGTTCAGATGGATGTTTTATTAACCTCCTCACTCGTACAGCTAATATCGATTAACATAATTTAATTATTTAGTATTTATAAAGCATGTTGGAAGTGTAAATTAATGTTTGTTACCTTTGGAATGAGCAATGGTAGCAATTGGTAACCTAAAACGCAAATCCCAACATGTATGATAGCCGCTACTTGTACCTAATGTTAAGCAACTTTGCCTAGTATCCAAACACATAGCTGTTACGATGCCTATAGATATCATAAAAGTGTAAAATGTATAAAAAATGAATGGTGATTGATGATTTTGCCTAATATACATTTATTGTTTAATATAACTTAGAACTTACCTTGTTTTATATCATTATTAACTTTCCAAGCTACTTTTGGAGCACGGATATCCCATCCGATAACAGATCCATACACTGTCGCATATACGAGTACCATTTGAGATCCAGAATCTAAGTAAGATATATCAACAGCACAGCCATCTTCTTGCAAATCTAATTGTTTCATCTGCATCACACCCAACTTATTACTATTTGACTCTAAACTATACAATGAACAAATTAACTATAGTTTAAATATCTTAATAAAATATAATTTGAATCATTGATACTTACTTTAGTACAACTACTGAACCAGAATGACTAACAGTAGCTAATGACTGATTGTTTCTACATGTCGTCATACCATATAGCGCTCCGTTTTGATGATTATACACTTGTTTTGACCGATTAGCAATGTTCTTACCTTCCATTTTCATACAGTCCCATACACGTACATAACTGTCGGATGAACAACTTGCAAACATTGATGTATTTGGAATTGACACCAACCTGAGAATAACATGTTTAATGATACATTGAGAAAAATTAAAATACAGTACTTAATCTGACATCTAAATTTATATAGAAATTATTTTATACTAAATGGTTATTATATAACATTAGTTTATTTATTATTATTTATTATAACCTGTTTACTCCAGACTTATGTTCATGCAGATGAGCTACCAACTGAGAACGAAGTCTCCAACCAGGAGGGGGTAGTCTTGGTTTCCATACTTCTTGTTCAGCCCATTCATGACGTCGCATTGTCATTTCATGACACTCTTGGCGATGGGATATCAATTTACGCAGTTCCAGTTTACATGGTGCATAACGGTCTACCAACAAAAATATAGCATTGAAAATTTTAAATTAAAATTTTTCTCTTTTATTACAATGCTTACAGTGTATATATGACATATCAGTAGGCCCTTCAATACTATGAGATGGAGATGGTTGAACATCAGATGAGTAAGAACCACCGATAGGTGACCTAGGCACAAAAAATACTAATACAGTAAATGTAATATTGATGAGGTTAATAAAAGTCTATTACGGATTTCGAGAAGAATGCATTTGCTTAGAAGACGACAACTCTGAACCTCCAAACATACATTTCCACTCATCGTTCATATTGGAAACAGATTGATCATCTATGCCTCTTCGCCTATTTGCTAATGGAATAGGATCTTGAAGTTTTGAATTTTGCGATCGTGCCAATGCTATAGAATGGCAATGCACGTTGAGTTTTGTGTCTCCAATATTTATCTGATAAAAAATTAGGTTGGAATATACAAAATAAAAACATACATAAGTCAGTAAAATTATTTACTTTTCCTTTAGTATTATATTTGTTGTCAAATGCTAATTGCTTGTGGACTTTCAATATATGTTTAGATAGTGCCAACAACTGATCTTCTACTATTTCAGTCATCCCTTCAGATTCCAGTTTCCTAATCAACTAAAATGTATAAATTAAAATAATAATATAAAATTATTAATTAATAACAATGAATGATTTATATTTTACATTTCTTAATGCACTATTTTGATGCATTGATTGTGTAACACTTGTTAAAGGTATATGACCAGTGTTAGCGATGGTCCTGGCTTTTTTTCGTTCACCCAATATATCCACTAATGTCTCAAGAATTGAACACTTAACAACTGTATCATAAATATTTCGTGGTAAAGGGTCTTTTAAAGTATTCATTACTAATTCTTCTCTATCTACTAATATAATTGAATGCTTCAAATAAGGCTTCATTACAGGCAATAATTTGCACTGAACATCTACGTCATCTAACATCCGTGCTGTAGCACTAAAACAACCCACAGTAGCCTAAAATAGATAAAAAAATTAACATACAAATAAAATATTCCTGCGAGTTTCTGAAATAACAGTGATGCCCCTATACAGAAAAGATAAAATACACATTTAAACATACCTGTCTTATCCATAAATTTGGATGTATGAGAAAACAAGAAATATCCCTAATTAATTGGTAAAGGGCAGTTTTTTGAAGCAAGCGTTTCTCAATCAGCTGTGTCATTGCATTAAGTGCTTTTTTTGCTACAAACTCTTCACTGTCTGTAAACCCCTAGAAATTATAAATTCAATAACAAAATATAATATATATATACTATATCCAGTGGTGTATTGGTAAATATATTTATGGGTATACGCACTAATAAAATATGTATAATCTACCAAAAAAAAATTTTCTCGCTTCGCTCGTAGTCAATAATCATTACAATAATTAGGTGACTTAATCTCTTATATTATATTATTTTTATTTTATTTCTTTATTAAATTTTCAGTATTTTTACTAATATAATAATATTAAAATTAACACTGATCATCAATGGAACCGACTAGTATTCATTCTTCTTTGTCAAACGATACTACGATAAGTACAATAAGTCGTAAACTCGAATAGCAAGATTCAAGAAGGAAAATACCCATTATTGCAGTAACAATAATTTATAAATAAATCTATAAATAAACACCATAAACCATTTAATTGGCCATAGCCTGATAAACACTTAATAACATCAGTGGTTACAAAAACATAACATCGCAAGAAACACATTTGCCGCGCGTTATAATTTATAAATGACATAATACAGGTTGAGAACCATGGACTGAGCATTCATACTCCATATTGGTAATATTACATAATATTTTAATAACATCTATTTTTCAAAATGTTATTAATAAATTTAATTTAAAATTCATTATTATATTAAAATAACAATTTTTCCTATGAATAATTGGTTTTCGAGTTATTTTAAGAGCGTATACCCGTAAAATGATATTTTACATTGGGTATACGCCGAAAATCGAAAATCTGCTGACGGGTATACGGCGTATACCCGCGTATCCGTACCAATACACCACTGACTATATCTACATTGCTGTAAATTTACTTGTTGCAATAATGGACATAATATAGGAGAACACTGTAAATCAACAAATGCAGCAACATTGACAAAGTTATCAAAAAATGATGCACGCAAGTGTTTATCAGTTTTGTCATTCAAGAATGTTACCATGTGAGATAAAATCACATCATTAGCTGAATAAAAAAAACAAAATTTAATATAAATAATTACATAAAACTCATAACAAAAATATACCTCTTTGGGTGCCAAAAAACTCGCATAGCTCAATTATATTACTATTCACTAGAGTTTGTTTCACAATATTGTGCGAATCAGTGAGAAGCGATGATACCGATTGTTGCACCATTTCATGTAGTGTAGCAAGCTCAGTCTCAAAAGCATTTGAGGTCGGTTCATCATCTTGCACATTTTGACAACACTTCAAAAACCTTAGACCTGTTTGTGCTAATTGTGAAATAATCTGAGCAAAAGTTGTCCTTACAATAACTGCATCATCGTGAGCCACCTAAAATCATCACATTTGTTTACCAATCAAATTTTTGTTTTCAATTTTACAAATAAATTTGATACTTACATTTATTAAACCTGGAAAAATATACTCAGGGAATGTGTTTGCATCACTAGGCTTCAAATTTTTAACAGTTGAAAGTGTATTATTCAAACCATGTAATGCAGATTTCCTTACACCAGGAGAAACATCTTGAATCATGTGAAACTTTAACAAAATATTTAAGCTCATTATTTTAGTTGAGTTACTATTTATAACACATGTTAATAAGAAAACAAAGTTGAAAACATGTTCCTTTTTAAAAACTTAAATATCTTCCATTTCAGTTAATTGGGTTTTTTTTAAATTGTCCCAAGATGTCAAGGTATTTATAATGAACTATATTTTAGTATTTCATTATTTTTTTATAGATACTATTATAAAAACCGCTATACAATTTTATAATAAAGAACATTTAATTTTATAATATATTTTTTGCAAAATGTTTGAATATAAGAATTTGACTTACAATATATGGTACAATTCTGTCTAAAACTGTTTCTGCTGAACAATACGTTGATAGTTCAAGTAAAACATCCAGAGCTTGTATTTTGGTTGTAGATAAATGCAAACCCCTGAAAATGCATATAATAAAAAAATATGAACATATCCAATAAAATTAATTGATGTATAATTTATAAACATTACCTATATTTTATTTACATATATAGATTTTAACTATTACCTAATACAAGAAGTAACTAATTGAACAATTAACACTAAACCATCAGTGCATTCTTCTGAATCATTTGATGGAAGCAACATATTAATTATACCGTTAATATCACTTTTCAATCTATAACGTAAATAACATTAAATTAGAGTAATTTGATTATCATTTAAACATACTAATGTTTTTACTTGCTAACCTATCGATTTTTTCGTCGGGCGAAATTATAGGATTTGTAGCCGAAAACATTTGTAAATATGGTTGAAGAAAAGAATAAAAATAATCGGGAAATATTTTATTTTTCTCTTCATCCAAATACAATTCAGCAGAACAACGGTCTGCTGGATTTAATTTAATCATGGATTTAATGAGATCCTAAAATAACAAATTGAATAAAATATTTCAAATGTTCATAAGTTATAACTAATTTTGTATTACATACTCTAATTCCTTCATCGTCAATAGTGTCAACGTGAGTGTTTGGATCATACTCTCCATTTCTATATGCCAACAACTGTGATAAATCAAAAGGTGGGCGACCATCTGTGAACATTTCTGCTAATGCACATCTATAAAATGAAAATAATATCGCCATGACGTATTATTTTTAAAAAAAAATTTATATATTTAAATATTTGTTATTTATTCTCTTTTACCCAGTGGAAAAAATGTCCATAGCTGGAGTCAATTCTCCTTTTTTCACATGATCTTCAGATGGTAATAACTGATTGCTAAGCTCAGCAGATGTCTTCACAAAACTACAGAATTCAATTGAATGTTCTCTTAACACTATTTAAGTAACATTATAGGTAACAGTTATATTATTTACCGTTCCGGAGCTATGTAACATAGCCTTCTACGAGAAGTATCAAAAAAGAACGAATAATCAGCAGGGTTATCGTCAGGCAGATATGTAGGTTTGTAGGAGGCGATATCTGTAAGTAACACCCAATTCCAAGATGTAATCATGATATTTTCTAACTTGATATCACCATGGCATACCTGTGTACAAACATTTTGAAATTAGAATTCACATTAATTAGTAATTCAATAAAAACATACGCCTAATGTATGACATTGTCTTAGAGCAAACAATATTTGAAAAGCAATGAATTTTTTCTCTATCATGGTCAAGAAAGGTCTGGTGCTGATTCGATCATATAAACTATACTTGACATATTCTCGCATCAAGAAAACAGCTTTGTCGGTCATCTAAAAAAAAAATTCAACAAGTGAAACCGAATTATCTCTAACGAAACCTGAAAGATTTAGTAAACGTACAACAACTTTCTGAAAACATAAGCAATTGACAGCGGACTGTAGTTTGGACTTAATCTCTTCAATGTGCACACGATGTTTAACCAAAGGCAACATTGGATCGTGCAACGCAAACACTTTGACAACAATCATTCCTTCTTGAGACTTGGCACGGGCTACTTTAAAAAACCTAGTACTCCCCAAGCTGTGAAACACAACAGAAAACAATTTATACCAAACCATTAACGTATTGGTATTGGAATTCAATTAAAATTACCTTGCATCGAACTGCAGTTGCGAGTGATCGGTCAGATAGTGTTCGACTGGAAATATTTCCGATGGCGCTATACCCACCAGTTGGTTGCCCATTTTCAGAAATATATAACCGCAGTGTTGATCACGGTTTTTGGGAAAATACGATTTGATGGAGAAACGATTGCGTGGACATTAATACTATCAATTTTCAGTGGTAATCATCAATCGCCCCAAACCCATAATTATTTTTAAAAGACGCACATATGTCAAAAACTGCCGTACAAGAACAAAAGTGAAAAATTAAACCTTTTTGGCTTTTTCAAACTACTGTTATCATTTTTCGTTCGCTTATCGCCTAAAATCGAAATGGTCTAATCTTATCATGAAAACGTATCAAAAAATAATAATAACTTGTTTTTGTTATGATTTAAGATATCGGTATATTATCTCAAAATTATAGTTTTCGTGGAGGTAACGGCAGCAAACAGCAAACCCAGGACAAAATAATTTTGTCATGACCAAACGGTTAGCCGCTTGTTGAGTTCTGAATGTTTAGTGTTTAGTGCAACAGGAGGTTGAGTACTTGAAAATATAAATATTCACGTCGGACACTTGGACGTGTAAGTAGCCATTTACCTTTAAAGTTTTAAATATGAATGCCCCACCGACGTTTGAATCGTTTTTGCTGTATGACGGAGAAAAAAAGTGAGTTGTTTTTGAGTTATCTACTAGTCTATTTGTTTTCAAGGGTTGTCTAACATTGATTTTTAATTTTAGGATAGTCAAAGAAGTTGATACTAAAGTGACAAACGCAGCAATTTTTACAGTCAACAAAGAAGATCATACTTTGGGAAACATGATCCGGAAGTGAATACTTTTGATTGTCATGGTTACTGATTATCATCATTGTGTTTATAATGTATTATTTTATTAATCTAGCCAACTACTTAAAGACCCTAATGTACTTTTCGCCGGATATAAACAACCACATCCACTGGAACATAAATTTGAACTTCGCATTCAAACAACATCTGATTATACACCTCAAGATGCTTTAACTAACTCTATAACTGATCTCTTGGCTGAACTTTCTTTGTTTGAAGAACGCTTCAAGGTATTATTTTTGAATAATTAATTGTTGAACTATGTAAATTGTTTTGGTGTACAATGTCTATGTAATTGAACAGTCTTCAAAAAAAATTCAAAAACACAAATACACAATGTTTGATAAAAAAAAAAGTAGTGATAAACTTATTTTTGTTAGATTGTACTCATCATTTTTTGACTATTATCATAATATCATTTGATAGAACTAGTTAAATTTGTATGTAATGTAAAATACAAACTTGTACTGTAAAAAAAATTATTCTCTAGGATTTTGTATAAAGCACAAAGTACTTTATCCCCATGGATAAAAATAAGGGGGGGCTGAGCCTTTTAATATTTAGCCATATGGATATGGATAATTGTATTACTTCAAGACTTCAATCAGTCAAGTTGTTTGTAAATGTTTAATGACATATTATATGTATTTAGTTTAACTGCATAAAACCTTTTTTGGTTAAATGTAAACACTAATACAATACAAAAATTTACATGTAATTTGTGATAGTTTTGAACGGTATCATAGATAAAATTGTGTTTGTAGTTGGTAAATTACAAATCTTCCACATTTTTGTCCTTGAAACTTTTTGGGCTCTTCCCCTATGCATCTGAGGACCCTATTTAAGTCCTTATTTGGGAGGTTAATCGGCTTCACAGGACAATTTGTTATATTTGATGATCTCAAGGTTAGGTTATCTCCACAATATTTGGATAAATTATCATTTTTCAGATATAATTTAAAATATCCCATAATGGTTAAACATACCATTGCTATAGACATATTTATTTAAATATTACAACTAACATTTTTATTATTTTTTTTTTTAGGAAGCGTTAAGGGAGAAAAAAGAAGGCCTTGATTAATATGATTAAGTATAACAGATTGTAATATATTCTGATAAGCAAAAAAAATAATAAAATTATTTTTTTATTTTTACTACTTAAGTTTTTATTCATAAGCATCCAGCCCGTGCTGATCATGCCTGGAGAATTTACCATTAATGTTTAGCTTATAACTGTAAAAATATTAAACATTAACTTTAGGTATAGATATAAATGTTTTAAATATTTATCAGGAGAATAATTCAACATTAAGAAAAAACAAATTAATTTGTAAGACTCAAGTATTGTTGACGTGTTTTAATAATATTGATATATTTTTGAAGATATTTACTTAAGTCAGCAAACAAAACTTATACAAATACAGTGCCAGATTTAACTACTGTGCTGCTGCTGTAAGCTCAAAAAATATTACCATCTTTTAAATAATTAGTTTCATTTCTTATTTTTTAATGTTATAGAACTTTTATTATTTGCGGAATCAATCAAATTATAATACAATTATGAGAACTACATTTAGGGGCAGACTGGAATACTGGATCACTGTGCTACTGTGTAATTGCATTTTATATCATATTAATAATACAATATTATGTCCGCAGGAATGGTAAAAAATAATCCACCTGGTATGATAATATCATTTTTGACATATTTTGTACATCTATTTAGCACATCTTGGTAGATGATAAACCAAATACTTATAAATAGGGCCCGGATTACAGTACAAAATGGATTATTTTTGGGGAAATCCTTGGCAATGCTTTTTAAGTACATTTGGCTTATCGGAAAATTGAAAACATTTGATTTTATTCGTCGTTTTTCGATCATTTTACTCAAATTTTAATAATTTTTAGGGTATAACACCATACAGTATCACACATATACAGTATTACAGTATTAAACTGAGTGGTAATTTTAAAAAATTTGTTCCAACCATTTATCATACTTAGTTTTTCAACTAGCTCAAACATTTTTGGTGGGTAGGTGGGGGCTGAAGCCCCTCAATAAGTTTACTTAAAAAGTAACCCTACGGAGCTTTGCCCACAACCACATCACTATAAGTCGTATGCATTATGGCAGTGATATCTAATTAGGGAATTGAGCAACTGTGATGGCTAGTTCTTCACGTACGCGTTATACCTCTAAATGAGTTGGCAGTAGATAACGTGCTGCTAATATCGAATTAATTTCAATCTTAATAATACCGGCCAATATCGTTAACGAAGTTAGGTTAGATCAAACCTTACTAAACCTAACCTAACCTAACCCAACGAAACAGCGCGTGGTTCGCGGCTATCAAATTATTGTCTATCTAAGTGAAAATGTAGTCCAGCTGCCTATCACATAGTCTTTACTGTAGATTTAACCTTTGATTTGTGATTTAAAGTACAATGTAGATACCAAACAATTAATATTACCTTAAATAAATCAAAATTTTTAAAACATTTACCATCTGCCTATTGATTATGGTGAGTCGTGACTTTGTGAATAACCACATTTGTAAATTAATTTCTAAAAGTTAAATTTATAATGCTACAGTGCCTAATTTGTTTCATAATAATGGGTCTAATGAATCTCAGTCCACCCCTGAGTCTCCATTGGTATAACCATTGATTACCTATAAATTATTAACATCTTTTTTATTGAGAAAATCTTGAAATTGCCATAAAATTAATAGGCTATAATTGCATACTAAATAAAATGACATTAATTGGTCAAAGTGTGTAAATATCTAATATGTCTCCAAACGTAAAAAAAATTTTAACAAGAAATCAAGATGATAATTTGCCACCTCTGAAATATGAAAAATTACACGAAGTATCGTTCAACGAGTTTAATAATCATAGACGTATAATGTACTATACTAGTTTATAAGCCTATCAACACAGGCGCAATTACAGGCTCCCCCCCCCCTCCAGAAAAATGTCTCTATATAGTTGGGGCTATGATCTATGTCTATCATGGTAATTAATTATTATACTGCAGAATGATTTCCACAGTCCACAAATATCTAAATTCTATGTAATTATCAATTCATATCTATAGCCGCGACATCCCAATAAACACAGTACGTGTTATATATGTTCATAATAAGAATAATTTTGATGTACTACAGTGGTCGAAGTGGGGGGGGATACGATAGGATGGCATCTCTCCACTTTTTATAATTTACATTTTCCATCCCTCCACTTATTTCATATGACTTTAAACGATATATGAGAACAATATATAAATTATGAAAGGCATCCCTCTACTTATTCTGAACCACTTCAACTGTATATTATGATGTATAGATGTACATGGTATTTTCAGATGTGAAGACAATTGAAGCATAAATAGCGGGTACGAAATAGTGCTAAAACTTATCTACTAAAAAAAAAAACATTTTTACGTGGTTTCTAGTAGTTAAAAAACAACATATATTATAAAATATTTTATAATATTATTACAAAATATATTTTTGTATTTATTTATACTATTGTTTAAATAGTATTTTGAACTACTCAATTACAGCAAAACTACGTCTTTCATGATGCTAAATTAAGCGAAAAATCTGCTGTTTATTCTTTATTCTATAGAATCATTGCGTGTGTACAGATTTATACTTGTATTTTGTGCTCATGAAAATAAGAAGTATCATATCCAAAACCATTAAAACTGCATAAAATAGGAACTCATGACCCTAAAAAAAATTTGATTAAAAACGTTTGTTAATAATTCACTACTTATCACTTATATCATACTTGATTTTCAAACAGTCCAATTTTAGAAATAATAACTACAAGTAAATTTCCAACTGCCACGGTACACAAATTGGCTGCTGAAAGAAATGACTTCATACTCGATGGAGCCTAAAAATGTATTATATAATAAGTCATTAGATGATAATTTATACTAATATAAGCATCCAGAGTATAGAACATAAAGATTCTTAAATATCACACATGCTAATATAAATATAAATATATATAATAAATACGAATTCACCACAATATGATGTGTAATAGTTAACTAATAATAACGAAAGTTAAAATTGTAATCTAGATATCTATATAAATGTGCATGTGTGAAATGAAAATCTTTGTTGGTACAGGGTAAACTCTGGAACTACTTATCAGATATTCTTGATTTTTTTAACGAAAGAGTATATCACGGAGAAGGTTTCTATCGCAATAGCATTTGTCTAAGTTAATAAACAATTGAGTTATTTATTAATTGAAATGTAAATTGTACACCTATAACTTTTTTAGTAAAAATACCTGAAAATAAATAGTAATCAAACTCGACACCACAGATGCTTCCAGGCAAGGTATCGACGTTGAATAATAAACAATTATTATAATTATTTGGTTTAGCCAAAAAAAGAAAACAATTAATTTTATCTGAATATCCAAGCGAATGTGTTACATTAGTTATTGGTTAAAACTATTTTTCTTTTGCAAACTTCGAGTCTCTACCTACTATCATAAGTACCCTCCAAAATTGTCTACAAGCGACATCCATCAGACGACGGAGATGATGACCAAATCCGAAAACAGTCGAATATCCATAATGTCATAGGCAAGTATACTTACAAACATAATTACAACGAAATTGTTCGGTAAAATACGATTGAGAATTTGATAAAAGTACCTAAATATTTTGGTTGAAATCAGCACAAAAAATTTTTTAATTGTATATATTTATACATATATTTTATTGTGCGTTTATATAATAGATCAGGTTTAAGCATTCATCAAATCGAATATTTTTTTATTTAATATTATGTCTTTTCTCCTTTCACTCAATTTTCTCGGCGCTTAATCGATCACAATGTTTTAATTGTCGATCGTTCATATTTTTACTCTCGATTGTCGAGACCCCAATAAATAGGTACCTTACTTTACATAATTAATATCACCACAAATATTTATTTAATACAAAATATAATATATATAATTTATTAATTATTAATTATGTTACTTGGGTAAATGCGAATTCCATTAATGTAATTAGAGACATTACTTCAGCTATTGAAATTAAAATCGTTTGTGGAACTTGCCATAGAATATGGATATATTTACCTTTTTCTAAAGTGATCAACTTGGCATTCTAAAATTTCAAACAATACAATTTTTAACATCAATAAATGTTTATATTGCCTATGCGTTTGAATTAGTTACCGTGTGGTTAACGTAATGGTGAAATAATAGGTCATTAATACTAACAGGGAGAAATTCAACATTTTGCAAAATAGGTTCATTATCCAAATATATGTCGTAACTGGAATAAGTATAAATACCAAATAAAAAATAATTCAATTATTAAGCATACGTCATAGGTATAAATATAATATAAGTATAATTTGGTAATACTTACATTCCGACAGGTAATTCATAATTTGTATCTTGGTTCGTTGAAAATTTAAAACTTATTCCAGACAATTTATTATTAGTATCCCTTAATGTAATGTTTTTTACGGAGAAATTATTATGCAAAATCCTTGTAAATTGTAATAATAATATTATATAATAATTAAACAATTTTTTTTTTATGGACATTATGGGCATGTCTCTTAGACGCACTTACCTAAGATTTGAATTTCCGTTCTTTAATTTTTTAAATTCGTTTAAATGTTTTAATTCAATATCAACATTATTTGTAGACGTTAACAAATATGATGAAACCTTAAATTAAAAAAGTATACATTTTTACAGTTGATTTATAAATGGTCAAAATGCCGAATGCTGTGCGATAAAATCAAAATAATTCTAACCATTCCTTTGTCGATGAAAACATGTTGTTTCAAAGTATTCGTTTTTAATTTGCACAAAGGATCTAAGTCTATAAATAAGACGTCAGTTTCATTTAATGCAGTTGAATTATAATTAATATGGAGTACATCTAATTTTTCAACACTGAAGTTTCCAACCAAAGAACCGGATATGGCTACATTGCAATCAAAACTATTGTATATTCTTAATTGGCCTCCAATCGATGGCATGGAAAATGTTTGGCCCTGAAAACAATCATTTAAAAATTTAAATCACCTATTCGCCTACTATTTCACCGAGCAAAATGAAGTGTATTATTTCTGAAGTAAAACGTTAACGAAAATTAATTTAAACTACGGTTACATCATAGAGTAAAACTATGAGTAACATTAAATGAAATTCTTAGGTACGTGTTTTTTTATATATATTATGTTGGTTGATCGCATACTATATGCTTTAATTATAAGTATGGTGGACCACGTTCATTGATATACCACATGTTTTTTCGACAAACTGCAAATATAGGAAGATCGACATAATTTCTTATTGAATTATCAGTATGAATATGAAATACTTTTTGATTTGTTATGCTAGAAAGCACACTAATCGAAACTTCTTTTGAATTGACGCTGCTGGGTACAAAATAGTACCAACAATTATTTGTAATCAAATTTCTAAGAGGTATATTTAATAGCAATTTGTACTCAAATAAGTGGGCATTTCAATAGAATTTGATTTAGATGAATGCGATCCGTTTTTTTTAATTTGCAAATATTAATTATTAGTACCAAGAAAATCAAAAATTAGCTATTTTGAAAGTAACAAATAATTTCAGCTTTGATAAAATTTTTGTCAGATCAAACAGAAGTGCTACAAAATTGAAATTTTCTGTAAAAATTCCCATATTTTGCTATTTATTAACATTTTTATTGAATTGCCGAAATGTACATGGGTACGGAATTATTATTAAATACTTACGATTATCGCGTATTGGACAAATGCAGCACATACAAATGATATTGCAGCAAACATTCCACCAAGAATGATTTTTCGAAAAGCTGTAGTTATACCAATTTTATACAAAAGTGGATAGATGACATTAAAAACTGGTATAAATATTAAAACGAACAATGGGTTAATTAAATGAATTTGATCAGGCTTTATAATCCAATTTAAAAAATCGATTTTGCCATTCATTAGTGTTCCTTGTAAAATCCAACGAGAACTCTAAAAAGTCATTTAACTTATTAAATATACTTTATACAATACACATTTATTTAGATATTTAAAATTTGTATACAGAAGAAATCAAAAGATAAACATAATTTTTATATTGATGTCACATAAGAATTAGTTGTGAAAAATGTAATCAAAATATTTATTTGAATTCATTAATCTGTTATAAAATATTAAAATATAGATTAAAACAGTGGCATACCCAGGGGGACTTAGGGAGTTTCAGCCCTTCTCATTGGCCGTGTTATGGTATAGGTCCTATATAATAAAAGGCAAAGTGCAAACAATGATATATCTGAAAACGGTGGTTTTGTAGAAGCATTTTGAGTATTAACAATTATATGTAGAGAGGTTATTACCAGCGCATCCGAAATGGGTCCCGAGTGGCGAGTACTAGGGTTAAATCGCAGATACTACACTAGTTGGGTCCGAGATTTTTTTTTAAATCAAACAAAAATATCGTCATTGACATTGATTAGCTAGATATATTTTTGGTTATGAATTTTTTGGTATTTTCCTTTATGAAATATGTCAGTGCCCATGCAATTATCTTAGATTATTTTTTGTAGATATTGAAAGGTAACTTTATAGTACAAAGTGTGTAGGAGTTATTGCCAATAAAACGATAGTATATTGTTAGACAATATCAGGTACAGATAATATCTGATTAACTTCAATAAAATATCCGAATGTTATGTAATGAATGCGAAAAACTTATTTGACATTTTTACCTCAAACAATTTATATTTTATATAGACTTTGAGGAAGCTATTCATTACTCGATTTTATTAGTGTAGCTGGAAACAAAAGTGAATATTAGAGTGATTCTGAATTTAGTAATTAGTAAATATCTTAAATTTTTTTCGACTTACCATTTCTACACCCAGAAGAGGTGGGCGCTTGTTTTACTGAAGATTTAATTAGTATCTAAAATTCTAAACGAACGATGATCGAATTCGAAAATTCATGGATTATGTGTTTGATAGTTATATTGATAAATAATCAAGATTTCCACCAAAACTTTGGTCGGAATTTAATGCATCGAAAATGAGAACCACAGATTCCTACGAGTCGATTCGCATTTTAATTTTATGTTTTACACAGCTCATCCAAATATTTATAAGTTTTTAGACGTTTTAAAAAACGTACATATATTTTAATAAGAAACTCAGAAATAATGAAAAAAAGAAACTGTATTATACTAAAAGAAAAATGTATAAAAGACAAATGAATGAAAAAAATGCAGGAATGATTAATCGATTTGATTTTGTAAAATTAATTTGTTATACATTTTTACCTAAACACGTGTGATTTTTTAAACAATATTTTAATTTTATACAACACCTATGTATTTTTTAGGTTGATTTATAACAATTTTAATATTTTTTCTTTGTTTAGAACCTTTGTGTAAAATTCTAATAATTTATATTTTTAATGGCAAAGAAACTAAAAAAATAAACTGTAAAAAACATTTTCAACCATACTTTTGGTCTAAATAAATCATAAACAGCCCTAAGTCTGTTAAATGGGAAGGAAAATTATAATATTTAGTACTCAAAAAAAAAATTAAGGACTCAACTTTATGTTGTACCTTCTAAAATTCCGGACCCAACTATAGGATGCAGCCGTTACGGTATATAACGTAATAACGACCTAGTATAAGGAGTGAAGGATATCAAATTTTGATTTACTTTGTTGAGCCCCCCTCCCCTTATTGAAAAACTTTGGGTATGCCACTGGATTAAAATATAATATTATCTGCCTACTTTATGGACATTATGACATACGTAAAGATCAACCTTTTTAACTAAAATAACGAAAAGCTTACTTGTTGATCAAGAAGTGTGTAAAACAATGGGACTGGAATTAACAAATACATAACGTCCAATGCTGATCGCAAATCAGATATCTCAAGTGCATTGTATTTATCATCTGCATATTCCAACCAATCTTTCCTTTTCACTTCATTTGAAGATGCGGTTATTTTTTTTTTCAATGCGTACTTTTGCGGAGAACAAAGATATTATAATATAGATATAGTTTATAATATCCTGCAACTATACAGGGTTATCCAACAAGCATGCTCACCCCCTTTTTTTCTTTAATAATGAAGTTTTTCAAAATCTGAATTATGCAATCTTTAAATATACTCAAGACCATATTTTCATATTCTTGAGATTTTTTGTACCACTTAAGTAGAGTCCTGTGGCGATACAAACTTTTGTTTTTCAAATGGGAACCCCTCTTTTTTACTGTAAATTATTTAGTGGATAATTTTTTTTGAGTATTTTGATGTATTGAAATCAAAATTCGAACTAGTAGTTTTCTAGTTATTACACATTTTGTGCTAAGGATAATATACTTCTATAGTTCTATAGTTCTATACACATAATATAAAATAATATGTAATTTTATATATATTCAGCAAACACTTAGGTAAATAGTAAGTGAAATCCTTCTTGATTTATCTAGTTATTTTTCTTATTCCATGTGTAGAACTGTATAAGCATATTCCTATTATGGATTATTATCCTTAATACAAATTGTCCAATAACTTGAAAACCACTCGTTCGAATTTTTATTTCGATACATCAAAATTCTCAAAAAAATTATACGCTAAGCAACAATAAAAAAAGAGGGGTTCCCATTTGAAAAATGAAAGTTTGTATCGCTACAGGACACTCCTTAAGTGGTACAAAAAATCTCAAGAATATGAAAATATGGTCTTTGAGTATATTTAAAGATTCCAAAAAACAGATTTCGGATAACTTCATTATTAAAGAAAAAAGGGGGTGAGCATACTTGTTAGATCACCCTGTATAGTTTATATAACTAGATGCGATATACCTATTTATTAAGTACATAATAAATTATAACCATATAAGCGCAACAAATTGGGATCTTCAGTCCACTTATTATAATTCACAGTTTCATCCATGCCTATGGTTATACTTATAAGTTATGACTTATAACTTATAAAAGGAACGGATTTATATGCAAATGTATATATGTATTGGAATAAGCTTTTTGAAATCTGATGAGGATTGTCCCCGATTCAGATTAATCTTATTATTTTGCGTATTTGTTGTTTTATAGTTTATATTTTTATTTATAGTACACATATATCGGTTTTATCTTATATTTTCAAGTCTACGTCCACATAATATCGGTAAAATTTTATCTACCTTACTAGACAAGAACTGTGTATAACACAGTGTTGGGAAGGAACGCGTTCCTTTAATAGGAACGAAGCTCGGAACGCGTTCTATTTAAAATATAGGAACGAGGAACGGGAAAGAGTTCCTATTTTTAAGGAACTTGAAAGAAAATTTCCGTTCCTCAAATAATGAAAAAAATAGTTATTTTTATTACGTTGAGTGCCAAAGTATTTATGAAGCGCATATTATAGTGTTTCCGCGCCAAAACCGAGCCGCGATGCCGTCTGTTGATTACTTGTCGACACCGGTTCCGCGAGCCATGGACCAATAAACGAAATACGTTCTCGAAATATTGATGTGTTTTACAAATAATCTGTATAACCAAATAATAATAATTTTGTCGTAGACAAATGGGAATCAAATTAATTTTCATTTAAGATTCATTGTGTGGAAAATCAGTTCTTCTCAAACACAACAAAATGTCAGTATAAAAATATATAAAAATAATATATAAATAGTTTGACTTTAAAGTAAATTTATGAATTGTTTTTTTCATTCTTCATTTCCATTTTTTAAAATAGGAAATAGATTGAATTTAAAAAAAACAGATTGTTGTATTATACTATTATCTCAATGTCCTACACTCCTATGGGCTATAACCTATAGCATGTCTCTATGTGTGGTGTATCTTGTATCCTCTTTAAAAGGAACTTTCCCAACACTGGTATAACAATTGCATTACAAGCGGCGTAATAACATCTCGCAGTGCGATGTAGCCATGTAGGCTGTTTTTAAGAAAAAATAAAATAGTCTTTATATATATATATATCTTACCCAACTACCCGTCTACCCCGCACTACAGTTTGTACGAGTAATCTAGTAATCAAAAAGCGATCTTATTAGCATCACTTTTTTTTCTAGTTTGTTCACCTTTTAAATCCACCTTGCACTCATTGTTTGTCTAGTAGTATGAGGTCTATGTAAAATTACTACTGGTCGTTATAGCCAAGAATAAGACATACTTATATGCGACATTTGTATACATATTAATGTAGATAAATTCATATGATAGTTTAAGTGTTCGTCTCAAACTGATCAGCCATTGTCGTGAATTCGTGCGTATTATTTTTAAGGGTAAAATTGTGTCAGGTTTTATGTCTAAAGATTTTTTATGTTGAAGAACTTGACGACGAAATACCCATTTTTAATTAATTTAATATAATATTACAAATTGTATTTTATTTTATTATTCAATTTTAGGTTCATATTTTAAAATAAATCCATATTTTGTAGCACATTAAAATATTAAAAAAAAAATTATTTTGAGGACTTTTTGTGCATATAAATCCGTTCCCTAACTTAGTTATAACTTGTACCTATACAGTATATAAGGTGTCCCGTGAGAATGTGAAAATATACACATTGTCGACAGCCGTCGAGAGGGAGTCGCCTACATATAAACGAAAAAAATCATGAAATTAATGAAATTATGATGTTAAAAGGTCAAAATTTTCAGAAAAATAAACTCTACAAAATGGATATCTTCAATTGTTTCAAAAATAAATAAATTAAGTATTTTTTTAATTTTGTTACCAACAAATTTAATTAAATCAAAAAATTAAATAAATGTGGTCCTTGTCTCTGTGAGTCTAATAGAAAAAAAAACAGATTTACGATATATTTATTATCTCATGAGATATCGCAATATGTAAATCTTCAGTATAGCCGTACATGATATAGTCAAGCCTGGGCAAGTTAATCATAATATATTTAACCGAGTTAAGTGAAGTTGATAGTTTATATAAAAATGTTTGAAAAGTTCAAAGTGATCCTAATTTTTTTTCTTACTCACTTAAGTTAAAAGTTATATGAAAACTTACAATTAATTAAGATATGTTGTTTATTTATTTATTATCTAATATATAAATAGTCAATAATATGGTTTAAAATATTAAAAACTAAATGTTTATGCAATATGCATCATCAATAATAATTTTATTATATTTATTGTAAAATTATTTATAAATTAAAGTAAGTTGGATTTGATTAAAGGAAATATTTGTTTATTAAGTTTGGATCAATAAAAATCAATAAAGTTAAACATTAAGTTAATGAAAATTAAATTTAAAAAAGTTAAGTTAGTAGGTTAAAATTAACTTAACATTCTAGGTTTGCCTTTAGGTTGCATATAGGTATAAAATATAAATAATAATTATGTACTAAATAAGTATTTTTGTTTAAAGTTATAAATTTAATAGGTACTCTTACAAATATGCATCCAATTGAAGTTGTAATGATACTGAACGTGGGTTTGATGATCGTATACATGTCCTTGGCACTTACAAAGAATACTCAAAAATTCATGAAAAAATCAAATGAAATATAAATATTTTTATAACGTATTAAGTAAATAAATACAATAACGAAAAATATTCAAAACAATATTTACGTAACAAGTGGGTAGTCAGGTATAGGTTATACTTATTAAGTATACGATATAGGTAGGACGTGGACACGTGGTACCTAGGTAAATGGTATAACTATACTATTTTAACCAAATATTAGTGTTTCTATGAATAATCGGAAACTTGTTTATTCGACATTTCGGCCTAGACAAGTAATAACTACTATAATAACCAACTATTGTGTTGTAGCCTATAATATGTATATGTGTACTAATGTAGTTGGTTAAGTCGTATATTTTAATTAATTTATAAGCAGAATTATTAATAATAACTTACCTATTGAGATCATCATAAGTAAAGCAGGCACCCCAAACGCTAATGGAAAACATGAATCTTTGCCAAAACACTGAACTGATTTTCTCAGCTCTGGTGTAATTGATGTCGATAACAATGATCCTAAATTGACAGTAAAGTAAAATATTGAGAAGTACATTTGCAGACAATCTTCTTGATCTGGCATCACAAATTGTTCACCACCAAAAGCCGCGACGCATGGTCTTATACCACCTGCTCCGATTGATGTTAACACTAATCCAATTATAGTAAATAATCTGCAAATAGTAGTAAAATATAATATTTTAGTGAAATTGAAATCATTTTTTATTTTAGTAATAATATATGAATACAATGATTATAGTACAATAGTACATTGCATTAATGTACATGACGAAAGGAAAAATAATGTTATGTATTTTAGTCTTATTAGAATAGGTACTAGGTAGATACCTCTGAAAATGTATACTGACTGAAGTGACAAGTGATGAAATAGCCACTATGATATTTCCCAATGCGTGTACAATAGACAAGATGAAGATAGTCCTGGAAATATAAATATAATATATGTATAATTTTGTTATATGATAAAAAATTTCTTTCATAACAAATGAAAATATAAAACATATTTTAATAAATGTTTTTATAAATCTTGTCAAGATATATTGATATATTATTATCTTAATTACTTGGTTAAGGTATTATCATTAATACTATGATACTCGAATCTAAATATTGCTCTAACATATTTGTATAGGTACTAGTATTAAATATAATTGACTACTCATTAAAAAGAATATATCTAATATACTAATATACATTATACAGAGTGTCCCGTGAGGATATACCCATTATAGCCACAAAAACCGGTTTTTTGCTATTTTACCTATTAACTAAAAAATTGATTAAAAATCAGGAGATTAATAAAATTAAAATGTTGGAACGTCAATATTTTCAGAAAAATGAACTACAAAATGGCTATCTTAAATTTTTTTTTCAATGATTAATAAAAAGTTAAAAAATATTTTTTAACTTTTTTACCGAAACATAAAAAAAAATTAAAACATGAATTATTTGTAGTGCTTATCTCTATGAGTCTTAATAAAAAATCAGAATTATGATATCTACATTATTTCAGGAGATATCGCAATGAGAAAGTCCTCACAGGACACCTATATACAAATCTCGTGTCACAATGGAAAATGTTTATTACCAAACTCCTCCGAAACGGCTGGACCGATTTTCATGAAATTTTGTGTGTAATGTGTATATTAAGTAGGTCTCAGAGAGTGTTGTAAACTTTCATACCCCTAGGTGTAAAGAGTGGCCACACAAAATATTTTTAAAATTTAAAAAGTAAATTGTATAATAATATAATAATACGCACCGGGCGTACAACAACACTACACAACCACATTCGGTTACCTACCGAATATTAGTATCAATATAAATTATAACTTTTAAACGATAAAATACATACAATCGACATTAAAAAAAAAAAAGAGTATTGCAATAATATTAGGAGTTTTGGCAATTTTTGATGAAATATTTTTGTTTTTAAAAAAACAATTAGCCATACAAACTAAAGTCGCGGAACTCGCAATGCTACAAGTCAAAGATATAAAATATCAAGGAAAACATATAATTTGACTTACGAAAAAGTCAGGTTGCAGGTTACTGGAAACCCGTAAAATTTGTATATAAACGTGTACAATGTATATATAATATATACACGTATATATATACGTTATGTACAACGTTTATTTTAATTAATAACTTATTTTCTTAAATTTTAGTGGAAATTAGTTTTTTTTTTATTTTTTGGTTGCCAATGGTTAATCGAGCAGAACAGGTTTAAGCATGCATCAAATCGAATCTTCACACATTGCATACCAAGGAGGCTGAGTTGCACTTAGAGCTGCTCATCGGAGTGTCCACAATCAAAATAAAAAATAAAACATATTTATTCATATAATCAATAGGTAATCATATAGATAGTAATATAGTATGGCGGGGTCTGCAATCTACCACAGGTGGATTGCCTACCTGATAATATACATGCTCGCATTATCACCATCAAGTCTCTTATAAAGATATGGCATTTTTAACGGGCAACAAAATGCACGGAGTCAGCTAGTTATTTTATAATTTATCTTTGCATTGGATTATTGGAATCATATTAATAAGTTAATAAGGTTTTTAATTAGGCTGGTACAGTGGTACCGAATTAGTTTCTGTTTGAAAAATGTATTTTATTAAGGTTAGCCGAATTGGTTCTCGTTGAAAAAAGGTATTTTATTAAGTTGAGCCAAATTGATTATCGTTTTATTACTCACACATTCCTACTCGATTTTACAGGCGTATTACTGTCAACTTTAAATTAAGCTTGGTAGAGTACTTATATAGGCTATAGCCTATCGAGTATAGAAATTTGTGAGGGTTGTACGAGTTGGTAAGTAAAATCTTAAATGACTCAAAAACATAAGATACCTAACTAATAAGTACTGACACTTAACAACAAAGTTTTAGTAAAATAAAACAGAAATCCCTCGTTGCTGGCGGAGGATAGATTTTGCAAAGTCACATGGTTAATCGAAAATCTAATTATTCTATATTTTTGTTAAATAAAGTTGATTCAGTCGTAAAAATTTTTAAGAAATACTTTTCAAATGAATGAGTACTTATTAATTTTTAAAAATCATAAAAAAATAAACCACTTTACTTGGATAATTTTTTTACACTCAAAAGTTTTCTAAAAACCAGGTAAACCTAACCTAACAATATAAATTTAAAAAAATCATGTAGGTACCTACAAATAATAAATACAACGCTTTTGTTTATTTTACTCACCTATATTTTCCCCAGTATGAATCTGCGATGATGGCTCCAAACAATGCTGATACGGATTGAAAGACAATAAACATATGAATTATAACCGTGGATGTATCACGGTCATATTTTTGAACAGTTGTAAAAAATAAAACCAAAATAGCTGAAAACGTATGAATAGTTAAAAACTAAACCAACATTAATATTAATGTTTGTGTAAAGAATTACCTTTAAGTCCATAATAACTAAACCGTTCACACAGTTCGTTTCCAAATATATACCAGACTGCTTTTGGATAACTCTATTTATTAAACAATTAAGGTAACGGTTAAAAATATATGTATATATATATTATACAAAAAATAAATGTTATAATAAAAGTACTCACGTTATTTTTTTTTTTCATTATATAGAACTCAGACTCTATTACCTAGTTAAATAATTAAATCAATTTTATGAAATTATAAAAAATGATTAATATTTAATTATGACGACAACGTTATAAAAACAAATATGTTTTCATTAACCACTTCACATATTTTATAAAACACCTATTTGATGAAAAATGTAGTACAACTAAACGGTGTTTATAATTATTTCATAGACCAATCAGCTAAATAGTATAATGGGCATGTATTATCTATCTATTTTAAGTTTACACGATCACATTCGAATTGCAATTGAATCGTTTTTTTTATTTTATTAGCATATACCTCACGACTACGTATATAGGTTATAGATAGTAGATATAGGACTTACTGTCTTAGAACTATTCACTTTTATGTCATGAATGAAACGTATGATTTCTTTAAGCGTATTAATGATTAAACCAATTCTTTATCACCTATTGTTTACTTTATATTAAGTCCCTATACTTACCTACTTTTTTTGTTGTGTTTTTATGATGTGTCAAATCAACTAAATATCAAATTTTAAAATAAAAACAAATCAACAAAGTCACAGTCATTCGTAACTAATTGCCCATGTCCTCCCAATATCTAAATGCACGTAGACAACAAATATGCCCGTGTAACGTAGTCGATAGTCCTCTAACCAAAGATAAGAAGTGACACACCACATGATTTACAATGCAATTCCGTTGATGCGTAGCACTTTCATTGATTACGTCAAAAATATGACTTATTTTCTTGAGATACAACTAGGGCAATAGGTACCTTATTCCGGGCCCACTCTGAACACTAGATACGCCAACAATTTCGGTTTAGATACCACACGATTTGTTGGTGTTTTTTGAGAAACATAATAAGTATTTCAAGGAGTTAAGAACATGGTGCAAAAAAAATTGCACAAATCATTATTTCGGAAAATATGTCCTTCCGAAATTTGCGATTTTACTTTTTTGCGCATACGCATACGCACCTAACTTTACTGTTGTGTGCCGCACCTATAACGTATTTTGATTTTTTTTTGCGTAGGTATTTACTAAACTCACATGAAAATAGCTATGAAATCAGAATTTGCAATGTCAGCAAGTCATCTTATTTTTTGAATAAAGAAGCTTAGGTTAGAAATAAATCTTAAATCTACTATTTAGAGCTATCTAACTACCTAAGTCTTAATTTTATTTACATTTACTTTTCCTCCTCAATGGTTTATAGAGTTACATTTGTTTAGGTTCACGTCTATCCTTCGGATGGACAGGTAACCCAACAAATGAAAGGTTCATTTCAAAATAAATATTTTTTTCAACAATACCTGTTGCTCATTTGTCGAAGTCGCTTCTTCTGCGTTTTTATTGTCAATTTGAACATCAATCTGATTACTTTGAATTTCATAAGCAACAGCTAAACAACTTTCTATTTTATCTATCTTTTTTGGACTATTTTTTTTTAATTCCGATTCCGTCTATTACATAATTTTATATTTATAGATGGGTAAAGTAATGAGAAATAAATTTGTATAATTTAGGCACGAGTATACGACATAAGCTTACTTTTTCTGGATTTGTAGCAGCAAAATATGAATGAAGTTTTGGAATTTTTCTGAGCAAATTATCGGTTTTTTCTAGTTTTTCTTTTGCCGCCTTTTTGTATGCTGCGCCGCTTAATTTAATTCGTTTGTCTGACATTATTAATATAAAAATATTGTTACCTAGGTATTTAATTTTGCAATTAACTCTTATTACACTATTTGATGTCAAAATAATATTTTAACTGTCAAAAAAAAATCATCAAATTGAAAATATATTTGCGCATCTAACAGTACAATGTACTGACTGCTGAGATAAAATATAACGATTTACTTGTAACCGAATATGTTTGAGAAAAAAACGTACAGAAATAATGAAAATAGTTTATACGATAACAGTACAATTATTAGAACAAGTTCTTAATTCTTATCGCCTTTTGACATGCAGCGGTGGACGGCGGCTTTTTCGTGGTATTTGTAAACGAAATAATATGTACTTATTATAGTTATACAGTCACACAAAAAAAATTAAAATTATAAATTTTTTATTTTATGTTAAATATAAATGTATTTATGTAATAAATTTTAATTTTATGATCCTCCAAAATTTGCCGCCCCGTCGCAATTGCCCCCCTTGCCCCCCGTTAAACGCGGCTCTGATATGAACCTAACCTAGCATAAAATATATAGATATATATGAGAGCATCCCTGACCTTGGTGTAGATGGATAACCTAACAAGTAAACCTAGTAGACCTTTTAGACCATCGAGGTATTGTTCTTAACTCGTCAAAATATACAAATGCTTTGTAAAAAAGAAAAAGCCAAGTGGTACCTAGCTTAAGTGAAACCTTAGGAAATGGTTAAGTAAAATATTTTGTTTAAGATGATTCAATGATATTAACTGATATTAAACAAATTAGAAGCCTAAAAAATCACATTATTAAATTCATTTTTCATAAATACAGTGAAATCTGTATATAACGGACAGTCATAATATGACCAAACTAATTGTCCGTTATAGACAGGTGTCCGTTGTAGACAGGTTTCAATGTTTTAAAAATTAAAATGTTTAAGTACATTTTACGTATTGTTTCATATTTTATAATATGTACATATTAGGTATAATCGTTATTAATATTATACATATATCATAATAATTTATTTATTAATATAAGTAAAAATATATGTATTAAACACATACATTCTACATTATGAATTGAATTTTAATTATTTATTACAATTACAATTATTAATTTTATATTATATACACACAATAACACATTATAAATGTATTATATGTACATACTATTATATTTGTTTACATTTATTAATTATTTTTAAAAAAATTATTCTATTGATATTTGTTTTTTGAACTTCGATTTGGGCATTTCCAACTTGTGATGGATAATTAATTCGCTCATATATGAAAATCCTTTTGTTTTTAATTTAAAGCTTTACGCGGCACGGGAGGTGGCATTGCTAAGGAAAAGATGTACAACTCTGACTGCGAACAGTGCGAACCGATATAAACTGAATAAAAACGTTTGATACTCATGGTTATCATATTTTATACTTATTGCAATTTATATCTGGATATCTTGGACTGTATAAATTCAATAGACAATTATAGCGTTATCGTAATCGGCGATAATGTAATTGGTCGTAATCCATGTTTTCACTGAATGACCCAATTGCGTTCCTTATCGACGCTGTTTCGTAGAATGTATGTATGTTTTTTTGTCCGTTATGATATTGTTGGATTAAATATTAGTGTCCGCGTCCGTAATAAGGAGTCTGTTATAGACAGGTCGAAATACATTAGAATGCCTATCTTTTTGCCGGGACCTGGTCATTGTGTACGTTAAGAGAGGTGTCCGTTATAGACAGGTGTCCGTTAAGTCAAGTTTCACTGTACTGTAAACCAAGTAAACGAATATATATTTTACCGAGATTCAGATAATTACAGATAAATGTTTAAAAAAAACCACCCCCAGTATATTTTACACGGCAAAACGGCAGTAAGTACATTGATTGTCGACATATTAAAAAACTATTTTTACAGTTAACTATGAGTAATTTCAATTATCTATACATTTAAATTTAAAATTTGCAACTCTAACTTTGTAAGGAAATAAATTGTATCGTATCTAGTACAGTTTATTATGTCATAAGTAATTAAGTACGTAAAAAATTACCTTGGAGGAATTAAGATTTAAACATCTTATAAAATAAAACACACAAGTACTTACACAAATAGTTTATTGAACCAAATGAACGATAACCATAAGATATGTCTGATGTACTTCATATTAATGTCTATGATCTTTTTTCTGAAATCCATACTAATAGGTAACTAATAAGTAATAAGTATAACAACGGTATGAGTAAAAAAAATATGCATATGAATTATATTATAAATAATATCGATGGCTACACGGCACAAGACCTCTTAAGTAAAAATTTTCAAAAAAAAGATTTTTTTTCTTTTATTGGATGCACTGTGCATTTTAATATCATAATGTTTTTCCCGGCATTTTCGTGAGGATAATTTTAAAAAAATATATCATTATAAATTTTACACAATTTTTTCGTAATGTAAAATGCAATTCTAATGTAAAATTTGATAAAATCGACTAACTAGGTTTTGCGGTGTAGCCATCGCCCATCGATATGTAATTTATCATTATAAAATCTGCTTATTTTTTTTTAGATTCCACTTCTATAACAAGTCTACCTAAATAAAAAATAACAATTATTAAAACCTTTAAGATATTATAAGCTCGTTTTAATGAAATATTTGCAATAATATTGCATAAGGTAAACCGTATACAATTATACATATCATAATCTACCTACTCGTCATGTAGATTTCATGCATAAATGATAAATGCATAATTGCAACAGAATACCTACAGAATAGAAAATGTTAGGTACAAGTTACAAGTTACAACTTACATTATACCTACTCAGGTACCTACTTAATAGTTAATAATATTATAATCTGTCACTCACGAATCGCTAGCATACCATACTTTAAAAAATGCTTGGCGTAAATATACGAATGTTTATCAACATTGTATCTACTTATTTTTTTTTTACATATTACATTTATTGGAATATATTATATAACACATACAATCTGTAATAACAGTTATAATCACCATAGGCGGAAATCCATTAGAATTTCTGGGGGGGCTAAACTAAAATAAAAACTATATTCAAATAATTTGTTAGATATCGAAAAACAAAGAAACACATTGTGTCGCATATTTTGTTGAATTGAATCTGAAAGCATTTTAACAGCCTATAAGTACACATAAATACAACAAAAAAAGACCATTAAAAGAATAAAGTTTATTAAAATTATTGTAACACAATTGTTCTATTTTTTCTTGCAAATTTGTTGATTATGGAGTCATTGTCAATATGCTTTACAATATCCTTTTCAATATTAAGTATTGAAATTGTGTTGAAACGATTTTGAAGCATAGATGTTCTTAACCATGTTTTTAAGCGTCTCATTGCCGAAAAAGAACGCTCACATGTTGATGAACTAATTGGAAGAGTGATCGCCACTTGCAACAATTTGTACACATTTGGGTAGACTTGCTTTGAGACATATTTTTTTATATCTTCAAGTTTAAAATCATTTTTATCGCATGAACTTTTAATACAATTTTTGGCAACTGTCATTTCTGATCTTAAATCTTGTTTAGATATGTCCAACAAGTCCTGAAAATATTTTTTGGAGTAAATCAATTTATTTAAATGTATATCATGCATATTATTCAAATAGTATATACCTGATAATGGTCTTTTAAAACATTTGGTGATTCGTGTGTTAGATTATTTTGTTTTTTATTTACATTAAAAATATCATAATATGTAGTACTTTTAGACATTTTATTATTTATTATTATTTTATTATTAAGGCTCACCAACGGTTAAAGAACATTTTAAAAATACGAGATATAAAAATATAAAATAATTACGGAGTAGCCACTATTAAAACAGATTAACACACTAGGTATAGCGGCGACGGCGGCGGCGGCGGACTTGTTTACAATGCGACGCGTGTTACTTCGTGCGGGACTATGCTGCGGACTGGTAACTGACGGTTTAGTTTTTCTGATATATATAGATGCGAGATAATGCTCTCGATTGTTCTCGAATAATCTTAAAGATATTATGACGTTATCGATTATATAATGTTTCTCGAAGGTTCTCGATAAGCACTAACGTACGAGAACATTCGCGAATAAGTACTGTACAATTAGTAAATATATATATCATATATTTTCACATAAAGACGACAAAATTTTGGGGGGGCTATTACAATATTTGGGGGACTAAGTCCCCCCAAGCCCCCCCCCATTTCCGCCTATGATAATCACAGATTAAGAATATATAGAGAGGCCATATCGTATCTACTCTATGCAATAGTTTTGAAGTAAGGAAAAGGTGATCGTAGAAAAAAACAAAACATGTAGGTATGACATGAAATCTTGAGGACAGTAGAAAATTGCTAGCAACCTTGCACTCACGATACAAGTTTATTAGGCCATATATTTTACATACATATACCTATATATGATGTGTAGGGCAGATGACTTTTAGCATTTGTATATTTGTTTTGCACGATCACAAAAATAACAGAGTAAGAAACAAATACGTTTCATGCTGAAAAAAAGCTAGTTCTTACAATTTATTTTGCATATAATATATAAATGCATATTTCGAATTTTTTTGGGGTTTTAGTGCATATTTCTTCGACTAACCTAACCATACGTTAATATCCATATTTTCAATAATTTATCATTTTATCAATATTTTTACCGTCAACGTTTTTATTTAATTTTAAATTTAATATACAACCAAAATTATGTTGAATTTTAAATTATTTTAAATTTTGATCATATTAATATGATTGTTGACTGTTCCTACACGCATGTTTTTTCTAGAGACACGTCTCGAGGATGGCTGATTAAGTTTATTTTTCGGTTATTATTTTATTTATGCACAGATATTGTTCACTACATAAGATATTATCTACCAATACGGGCCACGGGGACGTCGGATGTCGGACGTCGGTCACAGACATCAAAATTTAAATAAAATATATTCAAACAAAAAAATCTTATTTTTGAATGCATATTTTTAATGCATTATAATACACATAATAATTTTAAAATGCATATTTTGTACATTTTAGTGCATATATGGTGATTTTTTAGAACTACAAGTCCTCTGCCTTAATTATGTGTAGTTATTATTTTTATTATTATCAGTTCAACTTAAGCCAAATTGAAACACCAACGCCTCTTATAAGTTTTTCGGCGGATATATAGGAATATTTACTGAGTTATGTTCAAGAATAAGGGGATGGGGTGCCGGGGTGGTAACGGAAAATCTTGAAAGACGAGGGGGCCACTTCTGCGACATTCAGTATAGTCCAAAATCTGAGTGTTGTGTATGGTTCCATACGTAGAAATTAAAGGGGCATAGTAATTACACGAAGTGATGTAGATGAATACGTTTGCATTTTGTAAATGGTGGATTTTTTTGGAGCTCCCCATAATTAGATAGGTAACATAAGTCCAAATAGGTTTCATGAGGATTTTGTACTTATAATTTGTTTAACTGGAAATGGGTACAAAGACTTCATCTAGAGACCTAGAGTTTAGCAATTATTGTTTTGTATAGCAGGCCTAATTTAAGCGTTTTTTAAGGATCAGACATTCAGACCTAAGTATTTTATGCTATAATAAACGATGGTGTTATTTTATAGATAAATCGAAGGGCCTTGTCTAAGAGTTAATATTATATGTGAAAATGTTTATTATTTATTTTTATTTTCCATTTGGAATACCATACTTCCATGAAGTGGGGTAGACAGAAATTTTAATTGGGGGATTGGGGATATTTATTCATTATTTCTAAGATAAATCGCAGGATAGCGCCCTGACTAATATTATACATAAAAATAGTAATGGCCCATAGGGGATCCATCTCCCACATATACCTCATGCTACCATGTCGCTATGATGGTGCAGAAGTTGGCTGCAGTGGCGTCATTTGGAGGGTGGCAAGTTGGGCGCTGGACATTTGTCCCCGTCTAATTTTAAAAGCAGCCCAATCGACTGGTGCCTGGTTATTTCCGATAATCCTTAATTATATAATATTTAACTAGCACAAAGACATGTCTATTTTTATGCCTATTGTGTACTGAGAAATTATTGTACAAATTGATAATTGGAATAAAATATTTATTTTATATATTTTCTAAATTACCTATTTGGGCTGGTAAAAACTTTTGCCCCCTCTATAGAAAACTGAAATAACACCACTGAACTCCCCGGTCGTACTGGTACTGTGATAACTGCTGCCAATAAGTCACCATCAGTGCTTTATTGGCCTTATTGCAGCTGCAGTTCATTGTGCTGGAATTGCAAACACATTTGCTCGACTGTATTCATGAATATTAAATAGGTACTCATAGAGTCATAGGCACAGGCACACAGCAAATGCTGTTAGTGAATATATTCGTACCATGGATTTCATAATATATTATAAAATCAATGCTTCTGCAGTAAAATTAAATTCAACAAAAAAAATATAACTCTGTATGACAGACGACAGTAAATAAATAAATATAATATCACCGAAACATTAATATTTTATCATGTAAGTTAATATACATTATGTATATATATAATTTTATGATACAGTGAAAAAACAAAAAACTAGTATTAAAATAACAATAAATTACATATTGACATTATAGTAGTGAGTCTTCAGTATAACATATTTGTGTATGCAGTAAAAGATAACATTTTAATTGAAGCTTGTTTGCTAGAAAACTATGAGTACATTAACTGTATTAAAAAAACAACATTTAATATGGATAAGTTAATAACAATTTGAAAATATACTAAACTACAAGTGTTGCTTATTAACATAACTACTCATATAAAATTATTATTTAACGGTCCAAGTATCGTAATTAAACTTTCCAATTGTTCAACATAATGATTTCCCTGCGTTTGCACAGTTTTCAATACACTCATGTAAAACATTTCTCTTAGCTTTAAAAACCGAGAAAAAGACTGTTCCATACTGATGAACTCTGAATGTAACCATTCAGTATTTTTCAAGTAAAATTGACCACTCACTAATGCTTGATAATAAGTTAATATTTCTATGTATATTTTGTTCAACATAATGAGTTTATCTTTGAGACCAACAATCATGAAACACCTTTAAACATACAAATTCATTATACATCAGAAAATATAGTGATAATAATGATTGTAAATGTTAATTATAATAACAATTGATTATTTGCATATTTATTGAAAACTTGGCTCTGGTATTTTTTTGGTATTTAATGTAGAATTTCCTTAAAATGGAACTGAGGTACTACAGCAACTACATAAATTAATACCAAGAAACCAGCATCTATGAAAATGTTTATAACAGTATCAGGCATTAGCAATAAAATTTAAATATAATTTGTGTTTTCTGAGATTTTTGTACAAAATTGATAAACTATTCTACTCTATATCTGTCAACTTTAAATTGTACAATGGTTTATACTGACATCATATGTTGGGCTACCCCAATACACATACTAGTTATAATAAATTAAATATTTTTAAATTGCATATATTTATGTTATTACTTATTAAATATTATTATTCAAATCATACTAACCGTTTTATCATTTTATGCATGTATTGTTTGTGACACGTAAATAAATCATCATAATTTTTTACATTTTCAAAGTTTTCGTTTAATTCTGACCAGCATGTGCTAATTACCACTTGCTTATAATACTGCTGAATAGATGATACAAATTGAGTCATCCAATGTTTAAAAAGATTAATCTATAAACATAATTTGCAAAATTACATAAAATAATGAATGCATATTGCTAAGCTTATTATAATTTATACTATAGTATTAAAAACCAATGATATTATTTTGACAGATTAAACAATGCCTACTAATTACTGGAAGGCACACATTAATATTTTGTACATGAAAATGTCTACACATATGATGTATATAATAGTATCTAAACTTACCTTTCTAAACTGAAATCCTGTATCATTTTTATATACATTCAATATTTCCCTGGCTTTTAACAAACTCCATGACACAAATTCTAATTTATTGGCAAACAAGAAAATTCGTCTATACTTCAATAATATTTTGGTTGACAGAATCATGTTCATTGGCCACTCAGGTGAATAATTTAATTCTATACATTCCACATCCTTAATAAAAATTTAAAATAATTATTCTATGAGAAAAATATGATTATTGATTATTTTACTTACTGAAATGTCAATAAATCCATTTAGGCTTGGAATAAAAGTCATCTCCAATGTCAAATTATGTAGTTCATGTCTTGGAAAACTATCTTGAATAGCATCATCTACAATAGATTTCAACTTGACCGGATTGAAGATGTTAGTTGGTTGTTGTCTGTTTGTCACAATACCATCAAATAGTGTCTGGCACAGTTTAGATGAAAACGTCCAATTCATCAAAAAGAAGCACTGAGATAAGTAATATAGATGTTCCATTAGTTTTTCTTGGTAAAAGTACATGTTCAATATTTGCTTATCACAAACACTCTTTTGAATGCGAGCAGGTATTAGTATTGAATGTGGTACATAGTCTATCATGTTCATAACATCAAAAATGTTGCTATTATATATTAACGAATCGTTATGATCCAAAAAAAATCCATAAGGCTTATTAAAGTCATATATATTATTAACTAAAGTCCAATCAGGTATTTGAAACAATTCATAACTTTCATCGTTAGAATATATTTTGATGTCTGTAACATTGGTTATATTATCAGTTGTATTACGATAGCTATCTGTAATCAAAAAATATATTACATCAATTAATTACTACGTACTATATTTCATGTATTGATTAAAGTATTAAACAAGTCTCAATAACTAAATTCCAGGGTAGTTGCTTTTTTGAATAATAAGTTAAAAGTGTACCTCTAGGTCAAATGGAAGTATTAATTAATTTTTTATTAGTAGCACAGTATGTTTAAAAAAAAACATTGAATATAATGTAATCATATAATTTTATTTTATACTATTGTTATTAATTTATAAGGTAATAACATCTTAGAAAGTGTGAACAGGATTATGATACAAATAGGTTAAAATCAGTCTAAACGTTTTATGAATTCCAATAAAATAACTGAAACTGCCTTTTATTCGTAAATATTCAATTCAGTATGTGAAAATTGACTAAAATAACTATATTTTTGATATTTTTAAATACTTAAATTGAAAAAATAGAACATTTTGAATGTCTATAAATAGCATAGACCAAAAATCTATATTATATTTAAAAAATACTAAGTTTTTTAATACAACAAAAAAATTTTCACCAAAACTGTCTTTACATAAAAACGCGATGTCTTTCTGCATTTTAAATTTTTAAATTTTAATAATTACCAGTATTGTCTTTTAAACAATCAGATCCAACAATTGATTCATATAAATAGCAGTTTGACATTCTTTTTACACAATTTACATTTTTTAAACCTGGGTCATACTTGAAATAAGTTGAAAATTGTTTATAAGCCTTCTGGGAATCAACAGCATCGAAACAACAAATTAAATTAGGTAAAAACACATTCTGAAAAAAAATGAAAATATATAAGTATCAATTATAAATACTACAGATAAAAATAATTTTATTTTTACTTACTAAGTCGTTGAATTTTTTGAAGAAATTTATAGTTTTTCCACAATGTAAAATATCATTTTTGTATTTATTTAAAAACAATGGAACTTCTACACTCTCATCTATTATAAAACGATTCCAACTTATACGGCTATCAATATCTTCATCGTCAATATCTGGTTTTACTTGAATGAACATGCCAGCTTCTTCATTATTTAACACCCCTCTTAATGCCCAATTCGATAAAAATCTAATTAAAAATATCTCTATGAATAAAAAATTAACAAAAAAAAAAATGATAGCAGGAAGTACTTGAAATAAGCTAAACAGCATGATTCAAAAATGTATAACAACATCTTTAGAAATAAATCATTCGGGAATCGATATTCAAGCAAATAACCATGAATTTTGTTCAACAATTGTATACCACAAGGTATATTATCTGGGATGACCATGCAATCCTGTGTTTTTATACAACATATATTTGCTAACAACTGTAAGCGAGGTGTTATAACAGATAAACGACCAACAAGTGACAACAAAGATTCGTTTGATACAGCATAAATTGATCGTTCATAATCATCCAATATATTAGATACTGAAAATATGAAAGCCTGGGAACAAAACAAATTATACTAAAACTTACGAGCTGCAAATAATTTTAACATTTTATTTAGATTCATACTTTAATAATACTATTGTCACATATTTTCTTCCATTTGACTATTGTGCTACTGATAATTTTGTATAAATTAGAACACTCCAAAATTGGATCAGTGGCAGATTCAAACATTTCTGGTGTTAAGCCATTAATACTAATGTTTCCATTTCGTTTGTACATAAGTGTTTCCTAAAAATATGACATAGCTTTAAACTTTCCTACTAAGTTATAGTCATTCATATTTTATAAGAATAAATGAATTGTAGTTAAATAGATAATAATTTAATTATATGATTTGGTATGATTTTTGATTAATTATAATTAATACAATTAATATTGAATTTCTTGCACAACATGTCTGATAAAATTTCTATTTAGAGTTATGGTATAATGGTCTTGATGTATAATAAAAGTAAACTATTTTATACGCTGCCTCACATAAAAGTATCCCCAAGCAACTAGTTTCTGCATATGATGAGGACAATGGGTGGGTATGGCTAATGGGTGCTCAGTGCCCTGCTCTCTAGTGACACTGTATTATTTCAACAACCGCCTTGCACCCCTGCCTACCTTGCACTTTTCTAAGATTGACACGGTAAAATATTTTATCAGCCATGACCAATTGTCAGAAACAAAAGCTGACGATGAAAACTGATTTAGTCTGAGAGCTCTGGGAGTGTGGTCAGATCAAACTGGACATAAATCGGTCGCTACTTGAAGTTACTCTTATGAGACAATGTATAGGCTTAAAAAAGTTATTATTATACAAATTGAATACTAACTTCATCTACAATAAAATAAGTTGTGCCCATATTGATCAACATTAGTTTAATATCTTGCATGATACATATGCTACTAATTTCTCTTTGAGGGAAATATGTTTTTAAGTTATGATCTCTCACATTTAATCCCGTAGCAATGTACCAAAAACATAGAGCAGAACTTATCTTTTCTTCTCCTGGGATGGAAAATTGTTCAATTGTCTTTGATTCATTTACTTCCAAATTATTAGAGTCAATAAAAATCTCCTAAAAATATATAGAATTATTAAATATGTGTATTATTAATAAAAACATTTTATTGTTGTAATAATCATGTTATTATTACTTTTAATAACTTGGGAATTCAATTTATGTAATGAAAGAATTTAAAATGCTTTTAAATTACCTTAGATTCATGTGAAAATGTATCATCTGCACATTTTTTTTCTTTTTTTTCATTACCCCTACAACATACCATATATAACTCGAATAAAATAATGGGCAGTACGAAGCAGAAATAATAGAAATATGAGTCATTACCAATTATTAATTGCTAAACGTTGTGCACAATCAGTGTGCTGTAAATCTGATAGACTAAATACACTTGTATAATTACTATAAAAAAAAAATCATAAAATGTAAAAACAAAGAAAAACAAATAAAAATGTAAATCATACATAAAACTTGTGCACTAATGTTCAAATTATAAATTTAAATAATATAAACAAGACCAAAAGAGTCCATATAACCTTTAACAATATTTTTACAATTACTCTACCATAATTTAACTTTTAATGAAAAAAAAAAATCTAAGTATAACCTTTTAAAAGCGTCATGCTTTGAGTTACCATATACACACTTATACTATTGAATAACAATAAAAAAACGCTTACTTCACAATGTATTGTTTAAAACTCAGTATTCACACTAAACTTAATGTTTAAAAACTTTTACTTTAACCACAATGGGTTATCCCATAATCCAAGTATGGCTTTTTTTAAAAAAAACTATCTAAAACCCAGTTTTAATACTAATGCTCCTTGCTCTATGTCACAAATCAAACACTTCACTTCAGCTTATTCATACATACTGCTGTAGAAGGGACAGCTAGTTACCTATACTGTCGCTACCCCATGATGTTCGTGATCTTATATATAGATACACTCCTCCATTGAATGATAGATAGATATACTACCCTCATGCTATTTGCTAATGGGTGACTTTTTTCTCATGCAATAACAGTTGCCATTATTCTAATCACATAAAATTATTATATATTTTATGTTTATAGATTGTGTATAAGTATACCTTATGAGTAGTAATATGAAAAATTACAAACATGCACTTTACTGGTAAAATATGATAAAACATAATATATAGTAAAATAAATAAGCAAATGCTCTAAATTTTAAGGTAACAATGCCACTGTTGACAATGTAAATAGAATTCAATTGTTCAAAGTATAAAAAAAAAATATTTACCAATATTTTTCCCAGATATCATTTTTATAACCACAAGGTCCTGAATATATCTTGTCCAAGGTAAATAAATTAGGATAGCTGTAAACAAATATATATACATGCATATTAGTATAAATAAACAAATGCTAGGTCAGTATAATGTAAAGTAAATTACATGAGTTTATCTGTATAACTGAAAGTATTTGTAGAGTCCTCTTGAAATGGATTGAAATTAAATATATTGGGAATGGTTCTATAAATTATTTAAATAAATAACAAATTTAAACAAACTTAATTAAAGCATAATACTTTTCTCTGTTTATTATACTCGGCGGGTACAAAACACCATCCAATTGATTAAATTCTGGTGTTATAAAAATGTTTGGAATATTTCTGAAAAGAAAATTGCATATATTTAACTAAAATAATATGATATATTTCAACTATTTATTACTTTTCTCTGTCTACAACATCTGATCGGTTGTAAATGGAATACACAGAATTTCCTTTATCAAACAAACTTGAGTTGTCTCTGTAATTATATCTATGTTAGACATGTTAATTTAATATAAAATACATTTATATTACTTTTCTTCGTTTAAAGTATTTAGAACTTTTGAACTGCATATAGTAGACATTGTGTTTGATTATTTTTTTCTAGATGCATAAAAAATAATATATTTATATACATTTTAATTATTAAATCTAAACTAATATCCATGTAACACAAAATAATTTACACATATCAAACAAAATAATTACTGTTTCCAAAAAGCCTTTAATACCTATACAAGTTTAGTGTAGTAGTGTTCCAAAAAGTTTTCTCTATGACTAATCAATAAATAGTAGAAATCACTAGTACGAATGGTTGAACAAGATACTGTTAATACCAAGCGAAACTCAAGGTTCCAGGATAAGCTCATTAAGCTCATATGATTTTACTTTAAAATTTATGTATATGTGCATACAGAGAGTATGATTAGAATGAGATATTGGTGGCAGCAAATAAAATAAAACAAACTATACTAACAACCTTCCAATTACTATAGACTATATCTTTTAGTCAATCTGCTCATTATATTTTGTCAATTATCTTTAGTTAAGAGGGGTAACATGGTTTTTGCAATGTTTCACTCGATACTACACAGGAACAAACACTAAATCAGTAAGGTTTAATTTATACAGATTGTATAACCTCACAAGGTAATAATTCAAAAAAATTTAGATTTTTTACTCTTACATTTTATTTTTGATGGTTAATTATTCTTAAACAATTCCCATCCTAGCCATGCCCAAAGTTGAAAAAAATAATAGACTGGAACAATCAAGACACACAAAATGATATAATATTCAACACTAGAGAAATCCATAAGACAGCTTGTTTTAAATCTGAAAAAAATATAATTACGTATAAAAACATAAACAAACAATTATGAAATACAAATGTCTTTAATACACCTATCACAGGAAATATTTCAATACACTACTTATATAACCATCCATTAAACTTTTCCATAAATTATAATAAAATATTCAATTAATTCATAAAACTTCATACATTTTCCAATGTAAAAATGTAAAATTTATCAAAATTAAATATATTGAGAAATATGTACCATAAATTTAAACTGTTCAAGCCTATCTGAGATTGTATTAGTTGCACTAATAATCAAACTAAAATAAAATGCAAATACATACTTTGATGACAAACTCAATTTCCTTTCCATACACTTTGCATACTATAATCTGGGAGTAGTGGAATTAAAGAATACTTTATGCAGCAAGAAAATAACACACCACAATACTCCTAGCTTGGATGGTAATTACTAAAATTCTAAGCTTTAAATACGGCACAATAAAGTTGTATACAGTGCCTTACTTAAACTATTATGTGTCATTATCTCTATACATATTTTTAAAAGTTTCGTTTGACTACAATGATAAATAGTAAATATTGACGTTTGACAGTTTGAGTTTTAACTTTGGTTTGAAAAATTATGTATATTTATCACTGTATCAGATACTATTTTTCGTTATCTATTATCATGTATTATCAATATATGATAACATTTAATGTACTTATGTTGTATACCAAACTGTTATTTTCAAGACTTATACCACTATAGTAGATAAATAGATAGTAGCATCACAAAGCCATGATAAGGAGGTAAAAAACCGGGAAAACACCATAAACATAAAGCAAATAGCACAGCTATAATTTTTGCAATCCTGCTCTGAAGTGCCCGATTTTAGACACGGCAGTGTTAATTGTTATTTAATATTTATTCATCGCCCGATTGTTATCAATTGTACCTGTCTCAGTTGCTTTTTACTCAAGTGACAGTCGTTAAAAATATTTAAAGTTTTATAGCCACCGTGCAATAATAAAATAATATGGAATCCGTAACTATACCCACGAGGACGTTTGTTAACGGTTCTTTCTTGCAAAAATTCACCGACAAGCCCGTGACATTGATAGGAAACGTGTTGAAGGTATAGTACTTATCTAGGTATCTGCATTGCATTATATGCACTTAATTGCATTGTTTTCTTAGGTGAGTCCCGATGGTAAATCCGTAACAATGCAAACAACAGATGACCAAGTGGTGACTGTTAATTTTCATGAACCGATTGACGGCTCTCTAGATGGATGGGTAGAAGTGCATGGCTTGGCCAAAGATAAAGGAACTGTAGCCGGAGAAAGTTACTACAATTTGCCATCATCAATAACTGATGATTTTGGTAAGTACACAATCCATGAATGTTAAAGTTTGGAATAGTAATTCCATCCCAAACACAAAAATTATATTGTTATCAAACCCTCAAAGACCCTTAAAAATTTGCTGTTAAAAATATTTGTCTTGGACATTTCACTGATTTCTCATTAATATTATAATCTTGAACTAAAATGCATGAAAAATTAGTAAACTAACAGTTATTGACAATTAACAGATTCCTATTAAAATCAAAAATTAGTGATTATTAATTTACATTTGAATGTTTTTATATTTGTTTAGATAAATCACAATTTAATGAAGCAATTTTACTATTATGCAACTTACCAAACCCCTTGAAGTAATGAAGAGAAATGAATCGTTGATTCAAACTTTAAAAATAATTTTTTGTTTTGTATTTAATTACTGATACTCCTAATTATCTTAATAAATATTTTGTAAAAAAGATCATTACTTTTACATTTTTTTTAAAATATGCTGTCACAATATTAATATTTTGCTTGAAAAATTACATGGTACAAAGCAGCACAATTTTAGATAAGGGAAAGATCAAACTATTCCAAGTATTACTTTTTTTTCATTTATTTAATATAAGGAAACATCTTATAATTTGTAATAAAGGATCCCATAGCCCTGTATTATGATATACAAATAATATATCTAAATAAACACTAGATCTTTTAAAGGATATATCATGTGAATGTTTGTTATTTATCTACCTATACAATTTGTCCTCTACAAATATATTTTAAAAAAGCCCATATGCCAATGTAACACCTATCTATAGTGGTAAAAAACTATATGAATCATATTAATGGATGAAAAAATCATTTATTTAAATGAATTTATCCATTGATGATAACTGTGTGTGATAAAAACACTTTATAATTATAAAACAAAAATATTTTTACCTAACATAATATCTTAGAATAACAAATTTTGTTGCGATGGAGCAAAATTTTTTATATTTAATCATAATGGAAAAATAAATAAGTTATATATACATATTGACATTCAAATTTCATAACATTTTAAACTGTAAACTTTGGCATCAAAAAAGTCTTTTTTGAACAATATAAGCAATAACACATAAAAAAAATGCAAAAGCAAACATAATAATAATTTTATCAGTTGTTTCGCGTTGTCCATATTTGTTTAAAAGTTTTTCAGACTGAGTTAACGCTCCCTTGGCATTTTTAATCTCACTGCTTATATTAGATACAGTTGAAGATGATTTTACTGAAAATATATAAATAATAAAAACCTAATTAAAATACTAGTTGAAAAATACAAAATAATTTATTACTATGAACTAACAAAGAGTTTCAAGAGTGTCCAAGCTTTGTTGAGATGTGCTTGCCAATTGTCTACTGACTGATAATAGTTGATTGGTAACGGTTGACGACTGTTTTAATAAATTTTCTTTATCCATTTTCAGCCTTAAACAAAATATTTAAACATAATATATCAAAATAATTATTTACTTACCAATATAATTAATTTGCTTGCTAAAAAAGCAAAAACTATTCAACCACAGAAATGTTGTCAATGAGTGATAACTAATGAATACAAAATTATAACAGTGAGTACTAACTATAACAGTAAGTATTAAAATATTAAAATATATATTAAATCTTTTAAATTAAGTAAGATACTAAATTATTAAACACTAATTAAAATTAATAGCTTTATTTATTCTGTACTTAAAGTACTACTCACTTATGTCGCACTTGTTCTTCTTTACTTGTACCTAACAACTGTTCACTAGATTTCTTGTGAATCCTTGCCATACACTCTACATTAGCCTTTCTGAATGAAGCAATGTTACTATATACAATTTCAAGAATCAGTAGTAAATATTAATTGTATTTAAGAAAAATTAATTACAATTAAATCAAATTGTGCACCTTAACGGAGCCTATAGTCTATGCATACACATTAGTACATGCTAAGGAAAGTAGTCTTGGGCTCTTGTCTAATGTCTAATGTTGTATATATAATTGTGTTATAAGCAAACCTACATGGGGGGTCAAGTAATGTGCAAACAGTTCACCCTCGTGTAATAATGCTACAAGAAAAAAAATGTACAATTAAATCAGTATTTATAGATACCTCAAAATTACAGAAACAGTATAATAATAATTAATAAACATTACCACTATCCCAGTCATAATCATTTAACTATGTATAAGTTATTTAGTACAATAGGCAATACTCCTCTTAATCTTCTTGTATAATAAATCCATAATTATTTTAACATTATTCAGGAGTAAAAACATTTTTGTTTTTCATTTTTAAAACTTCACCAACATATATTTATATAGTTAGTCAAACTAAAAACATCAGTAAATATCTGTATAATATCCTTAGGAAAAGACTTGACACTTTTAGGGCTTCAAATACAAAATTTTGAAAAATTTATAAAATCCTAACTAATTATATTCATATATTTTTGGCACAATAATGTACAGTAATATGTGTAAGGAACTTCAATAATTATATATAGTAATTAACTTAAAATGGTCAAAATTCTATGAAATAGTATGGTTTTATTTTGACCGTGCTTATATTTCAAATACTTTGTTTAGTAGAAAAGGTTAAGCTTCACTTTAAATTACCTAGTTAAATATTCTCTCTGATTACGAGCTTCTTCTACAACTTCTGATCGTTCTTGTTGACTTTCTGCTTCTCGAGCATAAAGCTCTAAGTTTTCTATTAAATTCCTAAATATGTTAATTTGATTCCTACCATCAGCATTTAATTGTGTTAAAGATTCAATAGGTCCATCACATGAATATATGTCCTACATTATAAAACATATGAATTAAGTTTGTGCATATTATATTTGAAAACTATTTAGTATCGTTAACAATTTACCTGTATTATAGACTTTAATGTCACATTTGTGTTTACTATGCATTCTCTGACTGTGCTTAATTCTTTTATCATCTTGCAATATAATAATTTAAACAGCACGATTTATACTAACTCTTAATAAATTAACAAACAGACAAACCAATACAAATTTCTCAAAGAACAATGTACCTATTTCTATGAATCCAAATTAAATTACCAAGGTTATCATTAAACAGTAAACACTCAAACGCGTCAAATAAAAACAACTTAAATTATTCTCATTTTTAATCGATCACTAGATCAGTATTTAAACATATCAAATATCAATATAGTATCTTCTATTCTTGTCTCATAATCGTATGTACATTATACTGTGTAATAATGGAAAAATTATTAAAAAATTGAACTTAAAGTTTGAATTATTGATGTAAGTGATGTCATCGTTATATCACTATCAATTTACTGTTATCTGTTTTAATCACGGTCTTGTATATTATCATTTAAGTCTGTGGTCTAGACCATAAACCATGTGGTAATCACCACACATGGATTTGAAAATATATAGATGTATTGATGTTTCTATGCCTATGGGACATACCCAGCCAATTTGTCATGGATTGGTTGTTACTTGTTGCAGCCGCGTGCAGCACATCGAACATTACGGAAACGTCGCTGTGTTCGTGACGGTCAAAGGCCTCTTTTCGTGGCAAGAACATTTTTTTTCAGTCTTTTTATAAGTCTAATGTTTATGCCATAAACCTATGCAATATTAAATAGTGGATTAAGAATAAATTCATTCAGATTTTCATAAATTATAAATTTCACTGCCAAAATGCTAAGTTGAGGTGATTTAGGATTCTGGAAACGCTAAACAGAAGAGCTGATGATATTATATTTATAATTATGAAAAATAAATAAATAGATATGAAAAATAAACAGGTTTTTGCAAACTTATTTCTCTTTCTTCTTCTTCTATTTCTACCTAGGACTTAGGAGACGAATTTAGGAAAACAGGTAGTTTATGTTCCACGTTATACTTGATTGAAAATTAGGGCTATACCTAGCCAATAGGTGGGTTGTGGCCCGACATGTTATTAACGTGTTGGAGACCTGTGAATTGCGGCCCGGAAAATGTATTTATTTTGTACCGGCAGTATGAGTTGGTGGAGGAAAATTTAAAGTTTAGGACTCACGAAAATGTATAATACAAATACAGATGAAAGTTAGAAAAGCTAGAACAAATAGAAATAGAGCAGTTTGCTTTCGTTAAATCATTAAGTTTACAGTTTTTGCCCAACCAATAATCTAAAAAAATTCATTTTACCATAAATAATAAAAAAAAACAAATTTTAAGCGAAGACGACTCAGCCAACCGCCTCGTGGTGTCTTCTGGGTAACGCTGTCACGCTGATATGAAGAGATAAATAAAATGTGGCCGCAACTCGTACGTCTGTCTTATAAACACGGGCCGCAACTCACCAACACCGAACATTAGGAGGTGAAAAACTTAGGGTTTGAACTTTGGAGCACAGCTACGGATATGAATAACTATAACCAAGAAGACTAGAATAAGCTCAATAAGGCGACCAAACTCGTATGGGCCGCAAGAAATATATGCCAAAATGAGTCGCACGATTAAATGGCCACACGCTGCCCTGCGTAAGCTAGGGGAGGGTTGCTGTTTTAACATGCGTAATAAAGAGATTGTTTTTTAGGAAAATATACGCATTATTTTGAATTATGAACCTCCTTAGATTTTATAGTTAATACGATTACGCATTTAATATGTGCATATTTCATAAGTATTTGTTTTATTATTGTGTAAATAATGTATTAAATACAATCCGTCATCACTTAGCAGTAAGTCTGAACCAGATACTATTCGATACTCCACACATGTTTTCTTGAACGACCGTTTTATCCTGATATGTATAAACACAAATTTATTTCTCAAGAATGTGTAATCGTGCAAGCTATAAAATTTAAAAATGGTAATGGTTCAAAAAATGCGTACATTTACCAAAAGACATGAATAATCATAGACATAAAAATATATTATTATGTCTATGTGAATAATCCATACATTACCGCTGGTTAAATTAGCAACTCTAGCGTTCACAGCACAAGTCAGTGGCCGCTTAATCGTGCGATTCATTTCGAAAGCGGAATTAGGTCTCCAACTCTCCTTAGTGATTATTCTAGTCTTCTTGGATAATGGCTATACGCCCATACCTATAGCCGTGGTTCATTGAGAATAATTCAATATTCTTTTATATTTTAAAATAGGTACTGTAACGATTTACAGATAACTGACAAAAATTTTACCATTAAAATAGATTTCATGAACCGAATTTCTGTAAAGACGAGCAACATATTAAATCAATAGAAAAAAGATGCATCAAGTTCCGGGCCCTAATGAATAGATATAACTGTCAACAGCCACTTGGTTTGAAGGTTTATGTGCTGCAGTACTTATTTGTCAGGTTAACATGTTTACATTATTTATTGCATATCTATCCATTTAAATAGATACATGATACAGTTAGTTGTACTTACTTATTTTACAATTTTATTTATATCCTATAGATATTATTTATAGTAGCATATACCCATTTAACACCGTGGTCCATGATATAACTAAATATGAGTTTGATATACACTAGGATCTCATTTGTCATGATGAAGCTGGAATTTGTTGAATTAAGAGAGTATCAAATTATTGAGTGTCATGTATGTATGAATTTTCAAATATTAATGTAAAAATAAAGTGTCGGATCAGCAATGTTCTGTACAATATAAGCAGCACTTAGAAATTAAAATAGGGTTTAACACTAGTGATATGAGTGACGTTTAGATAAAAGCACAATTGGAGAAAGTCTATCTCATATACCGTGATATAAATTAATAAATAATCATTGCCATCCAAGAAACATTATTTAAAACTTGGTTTGTATATATAGTAATATAGTATGTATGACTTGCATAGACTTAATATGCGGTCATAACTGATATTATAGTAGCTTTCAGTACACTTAAAAAAATTTTTTTTTTAAACCAGTGGAAAATTAATATTATATGATTTAGCTCAACTTTCGGACACAACAAAACAGATGATATAGCTGAGATCCAGGGGAAAATTTTAATTTCAAGTAGACTTCAGTATAAACTCTTATCTGTTTTCAAAATTCTTAATGTTTCACTAGATTCTGTCATATATTAGAAATAAAATACAACAAAATTGCCTTGTTTAATACTTGTTAAACAGAGACAATAAATTATTATACTGTAAACCTCTTCAAATGTATGTAATATTAACATAGATCCTAGAAAACACTTAAGCATAATCTCTATAATGTAAAGTAATGTACACATTTCTTTTTATGTATATACATATAAAAATAATATACATGTATACATAGGTAAAACACTAAAACATGAACAAAATGAAATCCTTAAATTAGTTCACTTTTACACTGAAGGAAACAATATTACTTGTGAATAAAATAAATACATATCGCCCAAGTAAATTCAATAAAAGTCAACAGTTAAGCAATAAAAAAATTACTCATTAATACTTCTTAAGTTATGAACATTATTGGCATAAATTATAGTTCAGTAATGTTGAACACAATATCTTACAAAACTCTGAAATTATTTTACTATTTATTTTATTTATGCATCTATTTATGAGTATTGAATAGTTCAAAAACAATAAAATAGGAAACAAAGTAAAAAATAACATTAAATGCAACTTAAAGTAATAATAAAAATGAGTTATAGTTTTTTATTTTTATTTAATACATAAACGACATTTATTTATATATAATTATTTTAATTTAAAAGTAAGTTTCTGTATCACCTAATACTTAACTTTGAAAAAAAAACATATATATATTTATATTTATATGTATGTATATATATATATAATATATATATAAATAATAAAATATAAATACACATATATTATATGAAGTACGACTTATTTGAATTGACAATACATACGAGGGCGTGTATTTTCAAAATAGTTGGTTTCCATAATAATAAAAGTCAATGAGAGGAATTAATAATAATAATAATAATAAAAAAGAGAGATGGGAGTTTATCAGTTTTGGCCACTCCACTCCACAAAATAGAGGAAGGCACGATTTATATGTATATAATTTTTTTTAATGCTATATAATTACGGCAAATAAAAAATAATACAAAATCGCATTTTATATAGAGGGGCCAGGAGGGTTAAAGGATAAGGGATCCATTGTTTAGTTTTAATTTTAGCGATTACCTGAAACAAAAATTATTGTACATTATGATGTAATACACTAAAAAAAAAATACATAAAATTATACACTTTGTGTGAGATTTTCTTTTAAATATTTGTGCACAATTTTGAAAATTGAAAAATAAAAAGATTTGAATTTCAGAGTTGACATTGCTTTAATTAGTTGCTGAATTGCAAAATATTTATATCAATATATAAATTCAAAGCTAAAATTAAAGTACATGAAGGCTCAGTTCTTGCTCGCCTGGTTCGCAGTAGCTAGAAAAATATTAACAAACAGTTTTTTTTTTTGTTTTTCAAGTTTTTGTGTTATTATTATATTATGTAAGCTACAGTAAAAAAAAATTACGATTGACAAATTGAACAAACTGAAAAGAAATATTTAAATTACTAACCGTTGAAAATTAAATACATCAGAATATACTTTCAGATGATTTTTGTTTTTAAAAAATTTCAGTTTGTTTATTGAACAAAGATCATAATTTTCTTCCATTAACATTTTATTAGTTCATGGGTTACCTAGGGTAGCTGACGTCTGGGGGGGAAATGGTTGTGGTCCGCCAGCTGCAGCTGCGCCAGACACAGGTGAGCCGCCTTGTGGTACAGCAGCACTTTGTCCATCATTATTGTACTCCTTTTGTTTCAACATGGTCCAATCAAAGATGTAATCATATTGGTGATTTAAAGTTCTAAATAGAATGCGGAATAATTGTCTCAAGTACATATAGTCTGGTGATTCTTCAAATCTTAAACCTCTGCTGTAATTTAGGAACATGGCAAATTCTGCTGGCAGTCCCTAAATTAAAAATAATCCATTAAAGTATGTTATCTAGAGTTTTATGCGCATTAATTATGAATATAAAATAATATTTTTAAATTAATGAAAATAAAATACAAATAACATACAGTTTGGTTTTTGTAACAGCGAACACTTAAGAAATACACAACTTTAGAATGCAAGTATTTTTAGTTTTAAAAGAATCATCTTGTAAAAATAAAAGAAAGGTTTCTTATATTAATACATTTACCTTTAACTATTTGTCAAGATATATTAATCTTTAGTATATATAAAAAAAAAATTATGATGTATGGTTACACACAATAATTAATAAACTATTTTTTATAAATATATACATAATCTATTTAGTTTTTTACACAGTCTAAAAAAGGGTAAGATGTTCAAGTTTAAAATTTAAATACACAATATATGTATATGATACTGATAGATTAATTTAATATAACACTCGTAATTTCAAAAACTATTAAGGTTTTTACTTTTTTGAATGACAACAAGTATTTTAGTTTTATATTCTTAAGCAAAATATTTTTCAATATGCTTCGATATATAAAAATTGAATTTTTGAAGAGTAGTTTATGAGTTGTAAGTATTCAAATTATAGATGAATGGGGTGGAAAATCAATAGGTCAATTACTCTATTCATCTAAACCTTAAATACTGAGAGGAAATGATAAATCATTGAATACGAAAAACGATGTTGAGTCATCATGTTATAAATAATCAAATTTAATAAATAAAAAAAAAAATAATTAAAATCGATCTCATAGCTAAAAACTAACACTAAACTTTTTTTTGATAGAGGTAGAAAAACTTGGGAATCATCTATTAAAATTTCTAATGATAGCTATGAAAAGAAAAACTTTTATGAATTTTAAACTGAAAAATAATTTACAGCATTTGAAAATTTTCGTGGCTATAAATAACTAAGAGTCAAAATAGTTTGAATATTTTACCATGTATGGAATTGCTAATATATTTGGCGAAAATTTCAAGTCTACAGTTATTTGTTTTTGAATGATTACAAAACGTCAAAAATCAATACATAGAAATATGTTAATTTACAAAATCTGAATAATTTCCGAAGGATATAAATAGCTCAAAAAAATAATATTTTTATCAACAATAATTTTGATAATATTGGATGAAAAAATCATGTATCTATGGTAATTTTATTTTGAGTAAAGTACTCCAAAAAATTAAAACAATCATTATAAAATCAATACATTTATAGCTCCATTTAGAATCTAATACGAGTGTATATTACCTTGCATAGGAATTCGACAGGTGTTGACATTTTTTTTTCACTAATTTTTTCATATTTCTGCCTTTTTGTTGCTGCCTAAAATAGTTAAATAAAAATTTATAAAAAAATTAATATACTATTATAAATTAACATGCACAACTCAAAAATTAGTATTATACCTTTAAGCCTTGCCATGGCAAACATCCTTTATTAAAATACATAAGTACATATCCCAAGGATTCAATATCATCCCGACGGCTAAAATTAAAAAAAAAATAAATTTAATGTTAATATTTAATGAATTAAAAAAATATATATTTATTTGTTATAATTACCTCTGTTCAATTCCTAAATGAGCATTGATAGAGGCGTAACGGGCTGTTCCTGTAAGATTTTTATCCTCACGGTATGAAATATGCGTTCTTGTACGCATATCTCTATATTTTTTAGCCAATCCAAAATCAATAAGAAACAACTAAAAATAAGAAATTTTATTGACATTTGGTTCAACATATAGCAGAATAATATAATATACTTTATTGCAATGACGTCCAATTCCCATAAGAAAGTTGTCCGGTTTAATATCACGATGAATAAAACTTTTACAGTGTACATACTCAATACGGCTAATCATTTGATCGGCAAGCATAAGCACTGTTTTAAGTGTAAACCGCCGCGAACAAAAATTGAATAGGTCTTCCAATGATGGACCTAGTAAGTCCATCACTAAGATGTTGTAGTTCCTCTCTAATCCAAACCATCTAGAACAACAAAAAATAATCGATTTTTTAAAACTTTTAAGCTACTTAAACATATTTGAGTTAAATTTAAAAATTTTTAACCATCTTATAACAATTATTATATTTTTTTATTGTTTGCAAATGTGTTAATTTGGTATATTGTTCTTTAATTTTGGGATTGGGCTGTTTTATTATAAAAATAAAATATATGAATTACCATAATAGAATATAATATATACCATAATTTCCATTTCCTTGGGTAGGGGTCAATAAATGGTCAAACATATTTGTCAAATGCAGAAGCTTAGTTACATTCATCTAATTTGCATTGATGCATCTTAACATTTTATTAAATACTACAAAGAGAATTTAAAAAACTACATGTTTAAAGTAAAATTTTTATTTGAGTTTCCAATCTAGTGAAGTGCTGCATGAATCTTTTTGAGATTTTTTTAACACAATTAAACAAATAACTTTTAAATGCTTGTACTTAAAGTAGTACAACTTTTGAGGAACCTTGATTAAATAGTAAAGGTGCATAACATTTCTTATTCAATGTAAATTATAAAAAAACAAAAAATATCAATATTTCAAATGCTGATGGGCTGTGGATAACTTAAAAAAAATATTTCAAAATATTTTGACAACTACCTATATTCCATAGGAAAATTCTAATATAAATATTTTGTTAAAAATCCCAGTCACCACTATCTCGGTTATACATTTTTGAATTACCTATAACTAAAAAAAATAATAGATTTGGTCAAAAACTTGATTTGTGTTAACATTCTTGTTTTTCTCGATTATATTCGCGTATTTTTTTTATCGACATAGTACCAACTAGATCAAATTCGCATTAAGTTAAAATTAAAGTTAAAAATTGAAACACAAAATATTGACCCTAAAATTGAGTCACAGACAAAAAACTAATATTTTTGTAAAACCAGAATTGAATACATATTTTATCATTAATTAATTTTTTATTTGCATGTAGTTATACACATTTTAATACATTCTTTTTCAAACCACATGATAAATAGATACACCAATATTTTATACAATGATAAAATTAATATTATGATACATTTAAAATATGAATTGGTGAAATACCTAAATCTATAGAGGTCAAAGATGTGTTTTATGGTGACAAAAGTCGAAAAAAGTGAAACCCGACTGAAAATAGAAAACGAAACCTGCGTTATAGGCGTGGTATATTTTCCTCGCATCTCTATTATACGCAACTCCGCCCGGTGACCTATAAACCTAATTTCCTGCTTGCATCATCAAAAAATAAAGACGGACCCAAATAATCGTCCACCCTTAAAATTGTCTCATGTTCCAATTAATTAAAAATCGTACTTTTCCAAAATACAATAATAATTAGTCATAATAATATTGTATTACATTATTTTACGCAGGTAGTCGCAATCTAATAAAATGCTTATAATTTTGAAGATGATCAAAAATCATAAGAAATAATGTAATTATGATTATTGCATTGCGACCATACAGTGTTAGTCCGTTTCACTAGTAATTAGATATTGCGACAATTATAATATCTGGTTATTTATATATTATATTTATATAAAAATAAAATAACTTCTTCTAATTAAACAACAATCATACCAGCTTTAACTACGAAAGAAAAATATTAATAAATCATCTTGAAAAGTAAAGAGCAGAATGAAATTTCATATAAAGAAAGAAAATCCATAATATGTTAAAATGTTTAAATACACAGTGATTCGTAAACAAGGTTAATTATTACCAAATTGTATAATAACTCGACATTTTTGTTTTAAAATTTGTAATTTTGTCCAAATAAGCCACAAGGCGACGATTTATATTAACTCATTTATATAATACAAATACCATTCAGTATTATTCACCTTGTCGGATTAATACATGTATAGTGTACGTATGCGTAATGTACCTATAAGTGCATATACTATTGAATAAATAATATAATATATCAGTTATAAACATTTTACATTTACTTTTGAGGTTTCCATTATTTGGATCAAATGTTGCCATAGGAACACGCTGCGCAACCGAAACGGATGACTGATTCAGCATGAATTATATACACCGGAGACGCCTACGATTTCAAATTACTCATAAATATAACAAAATAAATAGGTACGTGTATCAAATTTGAGTAAAATCGGGTCTTTTAAAAATTATTATTAAAATGAAAATGAAAACTACTTTCGAAATGTATAAGGTAAAGAAATAAATGTATAATATATGTGTGTGTAGAGTATAGTATATTATGTATATTAATTCATGATAAAGTAACACGATAATTTAATAATCACCTTAGTACTTACTTTATAATAGTATACAATATAATAATCCACACAAAGACGAAAACAAATAAAATTTGATAAACTTATTTAAGTTATTAGTTATTACATATTGGAATATATCTAAAAATAGTTATTAACTAATTATATTTAAATACGACTATGATAATAAAACCTATTAAACTACAATAAACCTATATTGAATAAGTCATATAATGTAAAAACAATGTATAAAAATTATTATTAACATAAAAAATGGGGGAAGTCGTATACTGCTTAGCAGATTTCGTAATTGAGTAGGTCACTATAATAATGTATGTGTTAAATTTAAATTCACCGACAAAACATTGTATGGAGTGATTATTATATAAATCAGAAAAATAATGTTTTGTGTTGTTTTTTAGTACAGAATATTATAGTTTAGAAAATGTATTATACAGGAATAGTACTTTCTTGAACTGATAAAATATAATTGTACAAACCAGGATGACATAAAGTACAGAAATCATTTGTTTTGATAGTAATTTACAATGGCACCCAGATAGGTTAGCAAGGGGTGCAACTGCATGTGCTCTCGTGGGGGGGGGTAGGTGTAGACGCCTATGGTTATAGGTTAACAGTTAGTAACGTTTTTTTAAATAAAAAAATGGGCGGGTGGGTGGGTAACATTTGTTAGTTGCATGTGCTCTCAAAATACCTCTGTGCGGCACTAGTAATGTAAGGACATTATTACTCAGATCTCTAGACCCTAGGACTGATATTAAAAAGGAATATTAATTTACGAGATTTGTATTAATTGGCGATTGGGACAATATTATAGGATAGGACTGATAATATATAGGAATCTTATTTTATTAAAAAAATATAGTCATGAATTCATGTAAAATAAGATTCTTATTTAATATCTGTCACCATTTTCCAGTCCTGGCTCCTGAGTGATATCATCCTAATTAATTCTGATCTCTATTAATAATATTCTGGAAATGTAAATCACCCTAATTTTTCGAATCTTATAAATATCGTTTCAAAAAAATACTACTAAGGAAAATAAATAACATTCTATAGACATTTAGTCCCTTTTGGATATTATCCAGACAAAATATTTTCCCGAAAAATACGATACCTGTAATTATTTTCATGGCTTATGTCACGTAGCCCCTCATAATATTTTGAAAAGTAAGTATATAATATCCAAAAAGTAAAACTGTCAAATCGTGATAACGTCATCTTAGAACAACCAAAAATACATGGGGGTGGTTTCGTGTAACAAATTAGATCTGATTAATAATTTGCAGGAATAAGGGGGGAGGGGTCGAAAGTAAAAATTCCCAGTACTTAATTGAAAACACCGAAAAAATTTTTTTTATTGTTATTCAAGCTGTATAGACTTCAAATGTTGACCAGTTATCCATATTAGCAATGGCGGATTTAAGGAGGGGCCGGAGGGGCCTGCAACCTCCAATGACCCATAAGACGTGTAAGAAAATAACTGACGTAAAACTTATAATCACGAAAAATGCAGGTTTCTGATTATTATTATTAAATATTCATCATCAATAATTGATACAAAAGAAGAAGTATTAGATTTGTTTGCAAAACAACATGTGAGACGTTTACAATTTCGTTTGTAAGACATTTAATTATATTTTTCTTACATAGGTACCTAAACAAATATTTTTAATTTTAATACTTTTTTTATGTGCGTACACTTATATACATTATAATTAATAATATATTTTAGAATACCATTATACTAATATAAGTGTTCTTATAAAAATATGTACTAATGTAACAAAAATATTGCCCCCCCCCCCAAAAAAAAAAAATCTAAATCCGCCACCTAGGAAATGCTAATATGATATTATACATACTTTTCTACATATTAGACATGATAACATTTTTAAAATATTTTACTACCTACTTGACATTTTTAATTGTTCACATGGTACACATTATTAATATAGATAATTCATAATTTTTTTAATTTCTACATCATATTTCTCATTAGGTTTTTTACTGGATATGAAATTAATTAATTTTGTTATTACTCAAAAAATATGAATTGTTAAAATTTAAAACATTCATCCATTACGTACTTTACAGTTAGTACCTAAATAGCATTTTCAAAATATTTTGATCAATTCTTATCAATTTATAATATTTATACCACGAATCTATCTACACTGGTTTACGGTACGTCGGTATTGACTTAACACTTAAATTAATGACAATTGGTAATATTATATTAAACTAAATTAAATATTATAATTTTAACTGCATATAAAATATAAAACATAATATATAAAGTATATGCCATTTGTTTTTGGCAAAAATTAGTTCAACCTACTATATTAATAAAAGGAAAAATGAATTAATAACAGTATAAATAAATAATAATAATTATCTTGTCTCCGATCAGAAAATTTTTTCGTATGCAAATTCATTTATTTTTATTATTTTTCAATTGATTTATCATTGAATTCAAGTTTAACATAAACATTACATTGACCTACTCAATTAGGAAGTACAATGAACAATTATTACTATACAGAATAGCGACTACCGAGTTCCTCGAATTTTATTTTTCCCGATTATTTTGAAAAATAATGGAAAGACTTGGGGTCTACGAACTAAATCCAATTTGCTACCAGAAATATTGAGTATATTTTTACTGATCTTAAAGCTAAAAAAAATACATTGTAGCATTAAACATACATGTTTTGCTTGGCCCAGAACTCTTTTAGATTTTTATTACGTTTCATTACTCTTTATAAGGGTGTTATATATTATCAATACGAATTAAATCAAAACAACTGTTCTTTTAAGTAGTTATAAATAATTGCAGCAGAGTGCAGATCATTAAATGTATATACTATATAATACTAATTACTGTGGAGTATAGAGAGTATACACATTATTGCATTACACAATGTAGGTAGGTAACTGTAAAACAAAAACATAAGTACTAAATGTCACGTTCAAAGAGAATTAACATTATAAATCAAATTATCCGTAATTATTTGATAGTATAAAAATACCGTAGAACGAACATTTTAGTAATTTAGACAAATTTTTACTATGAATTATGACTAGAAAAATAGTATTTGTATAATAAGATAAAAGTATTGTTAATTAATATCGTACTAAAATAAAATAAAATTACAATATAAATAATAATACAAAAAAATGCATAGAACTTAATAAAGTAAAAATGAGATATTTTTTCATAAAAATTATTTAACTCGAAAAATTTGTCTGTAAATGTTATTGTTAGAGAAAACATGTCAACCTTGCGCAGACATAATATTATAGTGACTCAGAATATAAATATAATAATATGGGCTCAATGGATCAATTATTTAAGGAATTAATTATAATGTTAAACTAACAGAATTCATGGTCATCTAAATTCAAAACTTTAACTATTTAGGTGATATGTTATATAACCTTGACATTTGAATAATTCAATAATAAGGACTATATCTTTGATGTCCAGGATAACCATTATCATATGAAATCAAACATAACCTAACCATAAAAGGGTTTTCAGTTTTTTTTAAAGTTAATTTATTGTGACACAAAAACGTAACAAATTATTTCAATTCGATACATTTTAAGCAATAAGTAAGGTAAAAGAAATAATATTGACTTCCAAAATGAAATTTACAAAAACCACATAATAAATTTTAACAAAATTAATAATTTTACAACAGTAAATTAAATTTTAAGTATAAAACATGATATAACATATTTTTTATTTTAAATGTCGACCCAATTTTTAAATTATCAGCCAAGTCACCCTTCACCAGGGTACCTCTCAATTCTCGGCAATCCTCCAGAGTTCAAGTATTTGATTTATGATTTTTTTTTACTGTCATACTACCTATAATATAATAGCTATAGATCTTTATTATTCTCACGATTGAATCTGTTTAACAATATTACGACTGAAAACCAATATGTTCTTCCTAGCACATGAGCACTAAGGTAGAGCATAAAAAGTATCATCTACCAAGATTACTATACCATGCGTAAAAATATGTCAATAAAATTATTTTTATACATAATTGAAACGCATAATGACGGTAGTTGTAGGCACCAGCTATAAGAAGTACACTATAGTATTGCTAGTTTACATGATTTTTCCACGTAACACTAACAGTCTTTTGTTTTATGATCGTCTATTATTGGCCATTATGCGATACGGATTTCGCACGTGTTCTGTAGTGTGTGCGTGGGGGAGGAGGGGGGTTCTTGGGGGTCACAGAAGTACAGAACGTTCTGACCAAAATTAAAATTCGTTTCGATATCCATCTCGGGACTCTTGATTTCTATCTAGTCAGTGACCAAACGCAAACAAACGGTTGAAGAAAAACTCGGCCGTTGGTTTCACGCCGTGGCTGTTATATTATATTAGACACGGCACGCGCAGCGCATAGTGGATGCATACGACGGAGTGCCGGACTGCAGCTGACGGGCCCCAGACGAAGACAATGATGATGGTTTAATGGCCCTAGAGCGACGTTGCCAGTTGCTGTTGGAGACCCGACGTAGTTGTTGCAGTCGTACACCAGTACCGCGGGTACGCGCGACGTTGCCGAGTCGTCCGTGCGCGATATAAAAGTTCCGTGATAGATATTATTCCGCGACGGCAATGGTACATAATAATATTATTATATTGTATATATTTTGTGTGTACAGTTACACATTATATTACTTATATTTCATAGTGGCGTCACTGTGCTCCAGGAGAAAGAGCCGCCGGGAAAACATCGTTACGTAACGAGAATAGTAAACTATACATAGGTGCAACGTCGCCTATTGTGAATTCAATCAAGACAAACGTCTAATAAGTAATAACTAATAATACTATTCAATTATAATGGTCTGTTGTTATTGTTTGTTGGACGGCGGGGTGGATATTATTTTACAATATTATTCATCGACAAACATTATTTTGGGCGGTGTGACAAAACAAAAACGATTTTTCTTTTTTAAAATTGTATTACAGAAAACGGACAGTGATTATAAAGATAAGATAATCATTAATATTAATTATCAAAATAACCTGAATATGCAAACATAATTCATAATAATATATTCTATTAATTGTATAATAATTTATCATTTTTATATAATTTTAAACCTTAAAGCATTACGTAATATACCTAAAATAATCATAAGACGTGACCTGGGATAGTATACAATCTTGTATTCAGTAACTCAAAACTCATTACTCCTCGTGGGTGCTTGTGAACTTAATACACGTTTACTTTTACATTCGGTAATAGAGCCAGTTATAGACTTCGGTTACTTTTTATTTTTTAAGGGAGGCATGTTACTTGACGTACATTTAATAAGACTACCCTGCTCCACTCCACCAAACACCAACAGACAAAAATGTAAAACATTATATATTTTTTCAAATAAAATAGGTAAAACTAATCGTTTAGTTTAAAAATAACCTTCATTGAAGTAAAACAACAATGAGGCGTCAACACTGTTACAACCAAGACACAATAAATATTATAGAAAAAATAATAAAATCTACTAACTTCAACTTAAATAAATGTTGTGAGTATATAATACATTACGATGTTTTAAATAAGAACATAATTGAAAAACAAAACCAATACGTGTTTAGAATGTTTTTATGAAAAAATAAAAATAATATTGTTTTATATTTATGGATAAAAAACATGAAGCCGTATTTTAACTTTTAATACTATGTTTCGTCTAGTATATAATAATCCAATAAATGTGTATATTGACCCCAGCAAGGCACACCGTACACATGATTTATATAGAAAAAATCAAGGTAAAAATTAAATACTCAATATTTATAACGTCTATAGAATTAAATATGTACTTATTAAAGTGTAAAAGTACGTAATACTAGCATGTGTTAAAACGTATATATCCCAAATTTTCGTTCAATAGTCAGCAGAATCAATTTAAATGTTATGCAGTTAGATTTAATATTAATTATTAAGGATAATTAAAGGTTAAAATATTATCTGTATACGTAAGTTTTTAAAGATATTTCAATATAAAAGTGACATATCAGTATTTACAATATAGTTCAGAACTTGATCAAAAATTTAAATATTGTAAGAAAATAAAGTAAAAACATGAAATTTTTACTTTCAAGTCTAATAATAAGCCACTCACTCCAATATTAAACATAACAAAACAAAAGTCCTTCTACTAAAATCAAATTGCTATGTTTCTAAAGGCCGATACAACACATGGCGGGTGGTCATGTGTACTCTCGATAAATCGTCTTGAAAGATTACCTCGGAACAATGTTTAGCCTAACGCAAAATATGACAAATGAACAAATTATATGATAAAATATAAAATAATCAAACTGAGACCAATATACAGTAATATATTATATTGTAATGATTTTTACGAAATAATCCAAAGTAATTTGTTTGAACAAAGTTAAAACTAATATGAATGATAACTAATGAAACATAGACAATTTTCATAAAATTAAAATTAATGTACATTAAAAAAACCCATAATTTTATATTCTTTTAATAGGTCAAAATGTTCTTACCTGAACAAAATTTAAGAACTATTATTAATAAGTTTTATTTTTAGTCTTTTCTAAATACATCATACTAAAATACAAATAAGCAAATCATAACATTCAAATAGTTAAAAATCAAAAGTGTAGTGTGTAGAAACGACCATGTTGTTAAGACTTGTTTTTCAAACATAAATGATTATGCTTTTCTCAAAGGATAAGTCACGATAGGCTCTATGGGTTCTCAGACTAGTTAGGTTGGTGCATATAAGATGATTATTTCATTGTGAACAAGGCCGACATTATTATATATTAAATTATTTTTTTTTTGTTTAAGAACATACATTACTACTTATACTTGTACTTTACATTTAAAGTGATGCATAACAAAAAAAAATAATAATTCTTTATATTTTAAAAACATTGGGCTTATAAACAACGGTAGGTTTCTATAACTTTCTACCTCATCCTACTTCATAAAATAACAAGTAGTTTTTTGAAATCGAAGTTGACCAAAAATGTTAATCCCTAATTTATTTTTTATAATGTAACTTTAGTATACTTTGGAATTTGAATTAAATTAGGGGAGCTTGCTAATGCAGCGTTTCCCAAAGTGTGTTCCGCGGAACCTTAGGGTTCCGTGGTACAATGTCAAGGGTTTCGTTAGATGTATGTGATTATTGAGAAAATTATGTTTATTTAATGTTTGTTGTTCAAAAAATGTTTGATTGAAAATTTTTTTTTAAACTAAGTTTAATAATGAAAAGTCATTAACAGTATCATTAAAATATTATTTGGACTTGAGAGTTTAAGGAATTGATTTTCCTTTTTTAATTTACAAAAATTGTAGTTGAGTTGGATTAAACATTGGGGTTCCGTGAAACACAAACAATTTTTTAAGGGTGCCGTGGTCGTAAAAGTTTGGGAATCGCTGTGCTAATGTACTCAATTAATAAAAGTCTATGTTTCAATGTATGTGTGGGTGTATGTGTATGTAGGTGTAAGCGATCCACATCCAAGTCTATTGCATACATGGTTCTGAAATTTGGTACATAAGTAATCCTAAGCTCAAGAATCTCAAGGCCCATTTTGCATATTGCATATTAAAAGGGTGCTTACACAGGGGACACACAGAAAAACTGAATATTTTTTGTTTGTATAGTTTTCATTGATTACATAATATATAATAGACAATAGTTACTATAAGTGTATATAATAAAAAAAAAACAATAAATTAACTTACCTCATATGTGGTATTCCAACTCCTCCTTGTAATACTTTATAAAGTCTGCTTTCATACTGTAGCTGAGGATGGCGAGCTTTTGCACTTTCAAATTTTATTGCCACCTCCTGAAAAAATTAATATTCGTTTTTCAAATTTAATTTACATACAAGATCTGTTGTTAATTAAAATAACACAAAACCCCCAACTTATTTAGAAATTAATTTAAACGTTTTAGAATATTAAACAACTACCTAAATCATTATCTAACTATTATTACTACACATTATTTGCTAGACTTAAGACTTAAAAATAATTTAAAAAAAATAAAATACAACAAAGTATAAGTTTACTGAAATAGATTACCTCAACAGTTCTCTATTTCTAAAATAATTATAAATTGTATATAAATTATATGTAGAAATATTTGATGTCAAAGTCTTTAAGGCATTTAACTGGATGCAATCTTTAGATGTTTCATGTACTAAATTGGTTTTATGCATTAAACCGTACTAAGATCACCCAAGTCCAAGATTTATGTATAATAATATAAATGTAGGTATAATAGGTACCTAGGTAGTTTATTTTAAAATATACAAAAAGTAATTAAAATAGGTAGTATTATATAGGTTTTTAAAAATGAGTAGTAAACAATAATATATAAATAAGCGTACTAGGAAGGTATCATATAGGTATGATACATATTATTATTAGATATATTTGAGAAAGCATATCATGTTTTTGTTTTATATTTTACACCTTGGACCTGAATACTATAACCAAGGCTTAAATTTCAAGGTTTGATATCATAACTATAGGAAGGTATATTAAAATCTACTGATACATCAAATTGTTTTTTAATAATGAACTGCAGTAGGTAGGTACTTGTAATTTTTTAATTACCTAAAAGACATTTTATAGTAAAAATGTTAAAACCACTAAAATGAAATTTCAATTTTTTTTTAAGAAATTCATAATACAAATTATTCCAATTAAATTAAAAAATAATAAATAATAATAGTTTAATAAAATTAAATAAACAGTAAGACTACTTATTATTTATGAAAAGGTATGACTCCTTCCCCCTCCTTCCACAGGGTTATTTATTTATGGTTTAGTGTTTATAACATCAATTATTAGGGTATGTGCTGCTGATACAATTATACCCCCCCCCCCTGGACAAATGTCTTTTGATGTGCCTATGTAGGTACACTTCCGCTTTAGATAGAAATTGTTTCTCAAGAGTTGAACATAACTAGGTATATTAATTGATAATTCCATTAATACTCTTTCAGCATTAATTTATTCTCTTTAAAAACATACTCCAAAAATATCAACATTATTTCCTGGATCCTCGATTTTTTTTTCTGTTAGCTACCACCAAGGTTACCACATACTTCTTGCACTGTATTATTCCAATCCATTACGGTGCCATAATATATAAAATCTTTGCATCCAATCTGGTGGTAATCGAAAGATAATGAAATCGATACTGGTGGTATCCGAGATAGAAGAAAAGTACCTACTATTTTTGTAATTAGATAATACATTTAATCCAAAAATTAATGTATTCTTCAAATCTTAAATAGGTAGTACCTAAGTAATACAAAATCAGGATCTATGATAAATATTAATATAAAGCTTTAACACAATTGGGTGTAAAGATATTAGGTACCAAGCTTAAAAATTGCAGGTAGATTCAACAATTAATAACTGAAATTATGATGATGACAAAACCTAGTGGGTAGTAGGTGTCCAGAGGCTAGTATAGTAAATTAATTTATAAATATAAAACATGCATTTTTTTAATTGAAACCAAATACAATTAACCTACTTATCATGTGCATCATATGCATTGCTCTGTTCACTACACACAACTTTAAGGCTGTAGATTAATGAAAAATGTTTTCACAAGTTTAACAGTGTCACAATATATTCCCTTAAATACGATGCCAGCAATATTGTGTTCATTTAATAATTTAATTTCATCAATAATAGTGAGTTTGACTAAAAATAATTTTAATTTCTGTTACACTACCTAATCTATAAAATGTTCTTTGTGGTGTTCTTAATAAGTTTATCTGTAGCTTTTTATAATACCAACTAGCACAGAGTCTTGTCTAGTTTCTTATTCCTATCATTAGTTCTAGGTACCTACTTAATTATAGTTACTTAACAGTTATAATTTGTATTCAATATTATATTTAATAATTCGGGTACATTTTACATAACGAAACAAACTAGAAAGCTTTGCCTAATGCGTTTAACTATATTTTCATTTATCTCGTCCGAACGATAACAAACGCGATGCGAAGACACCCAGGTAATGCATGTATGGTTTACCAGGTGTCACCAAATAAGTACTATATTAATTCATACTGTGCCCACGTACAGGGGGATACCATATAAACCGACAACTAATTTTGATATTAGGTGCCAATTGCCCGTGCAACGATCGTCAATCGGCGACGAGATCGCGAATGGTGGAGTGTCGCGGACGACGTGCCCAAGTGCACAGGCCCCAAGTAACCGCTACATTTAGTGCGAGTGGGCCACCGTCGGGCACCAATCTCACACAAGCTATGTAAATGCACGCGCACAAGACTTTATAGGTATGTACAGACTTGTCCGATGGACGTACACACGTACAAGTGCACACGCAAGTCGTTGTCATGTGCACACGCAAGTCGGGCAGTGTGGCGCAGACGGGGCGAGAGAAAACGAGGATGACATAAAAATAAGGTTGATGTATTATTCTCACCTCGCCGTTGATAACGTTGAGCCCGAGAAATATCTCGCCGAAAGACCCGCTGCCGAGCCTCCGGACG